CAAGAAATTAAGACCATAGCTGTTGTGCTTTGCTGTGATATAAATGAGACTGTTTCAGACGCAACAAAATCCACCTTTATTGTTTGCATTTTAAATAATACTCAGCTAGCACACCTGTAGACCCAGCTGCTTGGAAGACTGAGGTGGAAGGATCACTTAAGCCGGAGAGGTTGAGGCTGCAGTAAGACTGGTGATTCTGCCACTACGCTGCAGCCTTGGGCGACAGTTGAGACCCTGTCTGAAACTCAGTCTCCGAGAGAGATTTGCAAAAGGCTATTGCTTAGTTCAATGCTGGCAGCATTTGTAATTGGGAACAGAGAGTAAGAAATAGCCTGTGCTTCAGAACTGCTTTTGTTTTCAGTAAACTGGAAGGAGTTCTAGTATGGACTCTGAGCACTTCCCTGTTTTCCAAGATCTTAAATTAGCTTATAAAATGCACATTGCTTTCCTGGTGAAGAGCCCAGTATGATGTGATGATTCTTTTTTTATGAGGGTAGGACCTGGTAAAAACCAGTGAAACAACAGGTCTCAGCTTGATACTAAGTTCACTAATTTGATAGCAAGGGAAGAAAGCTGCTTTTTTATTTTGCAATATTTAAGCTCAAATATCAAGTAAAGGGAAATCAAGTTTTAAAATATCTTTCCTTATCCAATGCTGTCAAGTGAACTTACCTTGGTCTTTGCTGACTCCTCCCTTCTTTCTCCTGGAAGGAAAACAAAAACTATGCAAATCGTGCTATTCCCAGTTAAATGAAAGGAAGAAAAGGCAGAAGATTGGTTTGCCTGATTTAAAGGCAGTCTCAAGAATGGGGAAAACACTGCAAACTGTTTTGGGTCCTTCTTTCCCCAGATAGGTTTTCAGCTAAGTAAATCATTAAGTAATTTTCATTTAAATTATTTGCCTTGTATATGGTTGGATTGTTTCTATACATTTAATTCAAATGACAAATTACTGTCCTCAGATCTCTGGTTCCATTCATTTATATAATTATGTAATCTGCACAATCCCCCCTCCCACAGAAAATCTGCTTGAGATTTGCATTTGCAAATTCATATTTAGTCAACATACAAAACCAATCTTCCCCAGTACAGAAGCTAAAATGAAGGATAATTTTATTAACATTCTGGCCTGCATTTACTGTGTACCAGGCACTGTGCCGCCTCTCCCTCCACCCACCCACTCACTTAATCGAATGAATGCCAGCTGTGGTAGCTTGAGCCTGTAATCTCAGCTACTTGGGAAGCTGAGGCAGGAAGATCTTTTGAGGTCAGGAGTTTGAGACTAGCCAGGTCAACAGAGAAGCCCCTACCTCTAGAATAAAAGGAATAATAAACTGATTAATGACCAGGCTTGACAGTAAATGCCAAATTTGGTTATGAAAAGCTCCACTGCGAAATTTTGATTAGAAACAGGTTGTCTCTTGGTAGAGGGAAAAGGACGTGCATTGAGGTCTAGATTCTAATCTTTATTCCATTGTAATTAATTTTCAAGGCATGTCTGGACTCGTTTATCTCTCAGTGTTTCTCCGCATTAGTCTCTAATGTAGAGTTTTCAGAACCTTGACTAATGAGCAGTTGACTTTTTTTTTTTTAAGTCCTGCTCTATCACTGAGGCTGGAGTGAAGTGGCGCAATCTCTGCTCACAAGCCAGTTGACTCTTAGTCAATTCCGCTACCTGTTCTGGAGAAATACATAATGCATTTGAGGCAATGAATTGTATTATAAGGTAGAATCTACTGGAGCCCAAACACCTATGCGGTATCCTCTTCTATGCTTCCTTTCCCCTAGGCCTTTGCTTTTCTTTCCAAAGAAGATAACTCAGAAAGGAGACAGCTCGATACCCATCTTCCATCACAAGCGGCATGGCAAACAAAAGTGATTATCTTGAAGTCTTTTGACTTCTGATCATTCTACCAAAGCTCCCCCACTACTACTATTAGTCAACTGAACAGCCTCGAACATCTCATGTTTTGTCCAGTAATTGAAGTACTTTCTTGGGGATTCCATGGGAAGTACATGGTTGGGGTCCTCAAGTATGCAGTGCTATGATTTTTAACTGCAGATACATATGTAACAGGAACATTTTAATACCTCAGTTTCTCTAATCTAGGTTATTCGTATTTTCTCTTATGTCAGTTTTAGTTACTTGTATCTTTCAAGGAATTTGTCCACTTCATCTAAGTTGTTGATTTACTGACATAAAATACGTTTCTGGCTGGGCATGGTGGCCCACGCCTGTAATCCCAGCACTTTGGGAGACCAAGGCGGGTGGATAACGAGGTCAGGAGTTCAAGACCAGCCTGGCCAATATTGTGAAACCCTGTCTCTACTAAAAATACAAAAATTATTTGGATGTGGTGGCGTGTGCCTGTAATTCCAGCTGCTCTAAAGGCTAAGCTGGGGGAATCGCTTGAACCTGGGAGGCAGAGGTTGCAGTGAGCCGAGATTGTGCCAGTGCGCTTCAGCCTGGGCGACAGAGCAAGACTCCATCTCAGAATATATATATACTTATACACACACACACACACACACACACACACACACACACACACATATTTTTTTCTTATCCTTTTACTGTCCAGTTTTGTTTCTGACGTCAGTAATTTGTGTCTTCTCTTTTGAGGCTCAGAACATAGTACCTAAAATATGACACCTTGGAATACTATTTTAAGCTGAAAGAATTTGAGAAAAATCACAGAAGCAGGATTCCCTCATCATTCTCACCTGAAGCAGGTTACAAAACCTGGGATAAATTTCCTGATCTTCTCTCCTTAAGCAGGTCCCTCGTGTGAGAGGTGCCCTCTCTAAACCTGGAGGAAAGAAACAGTCTTATCTCTAAAGACAAAGGGTCACAAAGAAGAATCTTAAACTTAGATCTTGCTAAGTTTCCCGCAGTTATCACGAGATCATGCCCTTTATGTCCTACCGTATTTCTCCACAACTGTCTACTCTTCATCTAACCTGCTACAAAACATGCTAACACTTACCAGTTTCTTTGGGTTTTCATTTCACTATGAAGACTCCTGGACCGTGTAAAACATATTAAATAAATTTGATGGGGGTGGGGGAGACAGAGTTTTGCTATGTCATCCAGGCTGGAGTGCATTGATGCAATTTTAGCTCACTGTAACCGCCACCTCCCACTCAGGTGATCCTCCCACTCCCGCCTCAGCGTCCTGGATAGCTGGGACTACAGGCACACACCACCACATCCAGCTAACTTTTTGTAGTTTCTAGAGATGAGGTTTTGCCATGTTGTCCAGGCTGGTCTGGAACTCCTGGGCTCAGGCAATCTGCCCACCTCAGCCTCTCAAAGTGCTGGGATTCCAGGTGTGAACTACCACACCTAGCCAGAAACTCTGCTTCTTTATAGCTCCATCCCCACCCCATTTGGTTGTCACAAAGTTACACCTTTATCCATGTGCCCCAAAACATAAATAGTTATTTTAAACACATTGGTCTTTTAGATTATGTAGAAAACAATGTGGAGGCCAGACATGGTGGCTCACGCATGTAATCCCAGCACTTTGGGAGGCCGAGGTGGGCGGATCGCCTGAGGTCAGGAGTTTGAGATCAGCCTGGCCAACGTGGTGAAACCCTGTCTCTACTAAAAATACAAAAATTAGCTGGGTGTGGTGGTGTGCTCTTGTAATCCCACCTACTCAGGAGGCTGAAGCAGATTTGCTTGAACCCAGGAGGCGGAGGTTGCAGTGAGCCAAGATCGTGCCATTGTACTCCAGTACAAAAGCGAGACTCTGTCTCAAAAAAGAAAAAAAAAAATGTGGAGTAACAAAACAAAGTTACAACAATACTAGTTTTTAGATTTTTTTTTTTTTTTAATGTACTATTAGTCTCTTACTCGGGCATGGTGACTCACGCCTGTAATCCCAGCACTTTGGGAAGCCCAGGCAGGTGGATCCTTTGAGGGCAGGAGTTCAAGACCAGCCTGGCCAACATGGTGAGATCCCATCTCTACTAAAAATACCAAAGGTAGCTGGGCGTGGTGGTGAGTGCTGGTAATCCCAGCTACTAGGGAGGCTGAGGCAGAAGAAGGGTTTGAGCCCTGGAGGTAGAGGTTGCAGTGTGCTGAGATCATGCCACTACACTCCAGTCGGTGATAGAGTGAGACTCCATCTCAAAAAAAAAAAGTATTAGTCTCTTAAATCATATAGAAAACAAAAAGCGTTACAAAATAATACTAGCTTTGGGCTGGGCATAGTGGCTTGTCTCTTAAATCATATAGAAAACAAAAATGATTAGTCTCTTAAATCATATAGAAACCAAAAAGCTTTATAAAATAATACTAGCTTTGGGCTGGGCTTGGTGCCTTATGCCTGTAATTCTAGCACTTTGAGAGGCCAAGGCAGGCGGATCACCTGTTTGAGACCAGCCTGGACAACATGGTGAAACCCCGTCTCTACTAAAAATATGAAAATGAGGTGGGCATGGTGGCACACACCTGTAACCCCAGCTACCTGGGAGGCTGAGGGATGAGAACTGCTTGATCCCTCCAGGAGGCGGAGGTTGCAGTGGGCTGAGATTGTGTCACTGTACTTTAGCCTGGGTAACAGAGCAAGAATCTGTCTCAAAAAAATAACAATAATCCTAGCTTTGGTAGCGGCCTATGTATTTACCGTCATTGAGATTTTTATTTTTCAAATGGCTTTAATTACTGTCAAGGGTCCTTTAATTTCACCCTGCAGGACTCCGTTTAGCATTTCTTGCAGAGTAGATCTCGTCTAACAAACTCAATCAGCTTTTGTTTATCAGGAATTAGTTTCCCCCTCATTATTGAAAGATAATTAATATGGTTTGGCTGTGTTCCTCTGGAAATCTCATCTTGAATTGTAGTTCCCATAATCCCCACGTGTCGTGGGAGGGATCTGGTGGGAGGTAATTGAATCACGGGAGTGGTTTCCCCCATGCTATTCTCGTGATAGTGAGTAAGTTCTCACGAGATCTGGTGGTTTTATAAGGGGCTTCCCCCACTGCTCGGCTCTCATTTTTCTCCGGCTGTTACGTGAGGAAGGATTTGTTTGTTTTACCTAACGTCATGACTATAAGCTTCCTGAGTCTTCTCCAGCCATACCGAACTGTGAGTCAATTAAACCTCTTTTTTGGTGGGGCTGTGGGGAGCCCCTGCTTGGGTGCTGCTGCATTGTCCTTGGGGCAATACACCTGATCCGGCCGCAGGGCCTGCACGGAGCTTGCTCCTGTGTCAGCACTTGGAGGGGCAGCCAAACCCCACACTCACTCATTCGCGTGCTCCCTCTCACTAGGGGCTGCCCAGTAGTTGGGTGCCCCGGCTGCGAGCCCAGCAAAGGGGATGAGAAAAATCCTGTGTCATTATCTTCATGTTTCCTAATTCTTCTGCTTCCTCAAATCTGTCTTTAAATTTGTTTAGAGAATTTTTTTTTTTTTTTTTGAAACAGAGTTTCGCTCTTGTTGCCCAGGCTGGAGTGCAGTGACACGATCTTGGCTCACTGAAACCTCTGCCTCCTGGATTCAAGCAATTCTCCTGCCTCAGCTTCCCAAGTAGCTGGGATTACAGGCTTGTGCCACTACGCCTGGCTAATTTTTATATTTTTAGTAGAGATGGGGTTTCGCCATGTTGGCCATGCTGGTCTCAAACTCCTGACCTCAGCTGTCCGCCCGCCTCAGCCTCCCAAAGTGCTGGGATTACAGGTGTCAGCCACCACGCCCAGCCATTTAGTGAATTTTTAATTTCACTAATTGTACTTTCAGCTTTCAAAATTTTTGTTTTCTTTTTAGGTTGCTTGTCTCTTTATTGATATTTCTATTTCATCCATACATTATTTACATAGTTTTTTCTTTCTCCACGTTTCTTTTGTTCTTTTTTGAGAATTTCTTTTTTTGAGAGAAGGAAAGAAAAAAAAGTGAAGGAGAGGAAGAGAGAGGAAGAAAAAGAGCTAGAGGAGGGAACGGAAATGTTGCTTTATTCTAAAAAAAATGGGTATTAATAATGGCCAATCAATATTTCATTTAAACCTATGAGTAGGTGTGATGTGGTATTGACAAGAATGTATATTTTGTGTATTTAAAGTGGAGAGCTCTATAAATATTAAGTTTACTTGTTCCGGATGTGAGTTCGAATCCTGGATATCCTTATTAATTTTCTGTCTCATTGAGTCTAAGTCTCTATGTATCTGGGTGTTAGGATCGTTAGCTCTTATTGTTGCATTGATCCTTTTACCACTGTATCTTTGTTGCTTTAAAATCATCAGATACGAGAATTGCAACTCCTGCTTTTATTTATTTATTTATTTATTTTTGCTCTCCATTTGGTTGGTAAATCTTTCTCCATCCCTTTGTTTTGAGTCTTTGTGTATCCTTGCATGTGAAGTGGGTCTGGATGTAGCATACCCCTGGGTTTTGGCTGTATCTTTTGATTGGGGGATTTAGTTGATTTAAATTTAGGGTTACTGCCGTTTGATGTTAACTGGCTGTTTTATCCATTCGTTGATGTAAATTCTTCTTTATGTTGCTGCTCTTTACTTTTTGGTATATTTTTAGAAAGGCTAATACTGGTTGTTTCTTTCTGTGTGTAATGCTTCTTTCAGAAGCTCCTGTAAAGCAGGCCTGGTGGTAATAAAATCTCTGAGTACTTGCTTGTTCATAAAAGATTTTATTTTTCCTTCAGTTGTGAAGCTTAGTTTGGCTGGATATGAAATTCTGGGCTGAAGGTTCTGTTCTTTGAGGATGTTGAATATTGGCCCCCACTCTCTTCTGGCTTGTAGAGTTTCTGCTGAGAGATCTGCTGTAAGTCTGATAGGCTTGCCTTTGTGGGTAACCTGACCTTTCTCTCTGGCTGCCCTCAGTATTTTCTCCTTCGTTTCAACCCTGGTGAATCTAACAATTATGTGCCTTGGGGTTGGTCTTCTTGAGGAATATCTTTGTGGTGTTCTCTGTATTACCTGGGGTTGAATATTATCCTGCTTTGCTAGTTTAGGAAAATTTTCTTGAATAATATCCTGAAGGGTATTTTCCAGCTTGGATTCATTCTCTCCGTGGCATTCAGGTACACCTATCAAACGTACTTTGGTCTTTTCACATAGTCCCACATTTCTTGTAGACTTTGCTCATTCCTTTTTAGCTTTTGTTCTCTAATCTTGTCTTCTTGTTTTATTTCATTAAGTTGGACTTTGACCTCTGATATCCTTTCTTCTGTTTGAACAATTCAAGTGTTTAAACCTGTGCATACTTCTCGGAGTTCCTGTATTGTCTTCTTCAGTTCCATTAATTCACTTATATTCCTCTCTAAGTTGTCTATTCTCATTAGGATTTCGTCAAACCTTTTTTCAAAGTTCTTAGTTTCTTTACATTGGGCTACAACATGTTCTTTTAACTCACAGAAGTTTCTTATTATCCATCTTCTGAAGCCTGATTCTGTTAATGAAATGCACTCATTCTCCATCAAACCTTGTTCCCTTGTTGATGAGGAACTGTGATCCTCTTTAGAGGGAGAAGCATTCTGATTTTGAGTATTCTCAGCCTTTTTACGCTGGTTGCTTCCCATCATTGTAAATTTATCCACCTGTCGTCTTTGTAATTACCAACTTTCAAATTAGGTCTCTGAGTGGACGTCCAAGTTGTTAATTCCCAGGGCCGAAATCTGAGCGACCCACTGCACCGGCCAAAATAGCGGCATTAAGACTGATGGTGCTTTTCTGCCTGGGAATCTCCAGTCTGGCTTCCTTCTTGAGTCTGTAATAGGCGACTCTGCCTTCCCGGAGCTCCAAACCTCGGTCAGAAGGGGAACCCAGTCCCGTTTACTCTGCACCAAGAGCTGCCGCGCCGGCCACCAGAGTTGCGCTGGTGACCCGTGCGGCTCCTCCACTGGGAATCTTCTGCTCCATGAGCGAAAAAAATTTGTCTGAAAGTGTGGCGTCCTTTTGTTCTCTGCACTTTCACTGAGAGCTGCAATCCTGAGATGTTAGCGATCAGCCATCTTGGATCGTTCCCACCTTTTAAGAATCTTTAAAACAGTTGTTTGAAAGCCGTTCTCTAGTAGATTTGCCACCATATCTTTTTCAGAGACAGTTTCTGTTGCTTTATTTTTTTCTTTTGGTCATACTTCTCTGTTTTCCTGTATGCCTTGGGTCATACGTTCCTGTTTTCCTATATGCGTTGAATTTTTGTTGAAAATTAGACATTTGACTCTAATAATATGGTAACTGTGGAAATCAGATTATTCCCCTTCCCTAGGGTTTGCTATTTTGCAGTTTGGGTTTGTGTGGTTTAGATTTATTTTCATTTATTTATTTTTGAGACAGTCTCACTCTGTTGCTCAGGCTGGAATGCAGTGACACAATCTCAGCTCACTGCAACCTCTGCCTCCTGGGTTCAAGCAGTTCCCTGCCTCACTTTCCTGAGTAGCTGGGATTATAGGCATGTGCCACCATGCCTGGCTAATTTTTGTATTTTTAGTAGAGACGGGGTTTCACCATTTTGGCCAGGCTGGTCTTGAACTCCTGACCTCGTGATCCACCTGTCTTTGCCTCCCAAAGTGCTGGGATTATAGGTGTGAGCCACTGCGCCCGGCCAGTTTTGATTTTTCATTGTTGTACACTGTCTCTGTACCAAGGATCACCCTGAGGTATAAACTTAAGTCTTCTGAGGTCTTTTCTGAGTCTGTGTTTCTCTTTGGACATGCAAGGTCAGTTTTGTATTTTTCCCCCAAATACAGTTGCTTTTAAATATCCTAGTCTCATTGTCTGGCTCCCCAAAGGGGAAAAGGAGAACAATGAAAGGGAGAAAAAGAGGGCACAGGCCCTTTAAATTTCCTGGAAGTCACATCGACTGGAAGGGGAGGGGCTTGTAGTCATGGGGAGAGGTATAATGGGTCAGACTGCAGACAATGGCTGCCACCTCTCTACCTGCACCCCTTTGATTAGAGCAGGAGTCAGCAATCCGTGTACAAATCAGTGCACAGATCTCTGATTGAAGAACATGGTTCTTTTTTCCACTCTGCCTACCACAAGCTGTGTGCAAACTTCTCCAGGAACAAGTGCACCATTGCTTGCTGTGGACTGGAGTTGGGGGATCGGTAGCTGCTACTGTGCTAAGAGCTGAAGTTGATGAAATTAACTGTAGTTTCTCTGTTGAAGCTTTTGCCTGGAAGTTGCAAACATTTAACAGACTTCAGAGTTCCAGAATAGTTACCTCAGATGGATTCTGTCTAAGCTATTGTTGTCTAGGTGGGAGACAGATTTCTAGTGTTTCCTATTCCACCATCTTCCCAGAATCCTTTCCTATCATTTATGTATTTATTTATTTATTTAGAGATGGAGTCTCACTCTATCACCAGGGTGGGAGTGCAGTGGTGCAATCTTGGCTCACTGCAACTTCTGCCTCCCAGGTTCAAGCAATTCTCTTGCTTCAGACTCCTGAGTAGCTGGGAGTAGGTGGTACAGGCATGTAAACTACCATGCCTGGCTAATTTTTGTATTTTTATTAGTGACGGGGTTTCACCATGTTGGCCAGGCTGGTCTCGAACTCCTGGCCTCAGGTGATCCACCTGCCTCCGCCTCACAAAGTGCTGGGATTACAGGCATGAGCCATGGTGCCTGGGCTCATTTGTGTTTTTATTGTCATAAGTTTTACTTCTGAGTTTTGTAAATGCCATAATATACTGTTAGTATTCTGCTTTAAACAATTGTCTTTTAAATGTAAAGAAAGATACTTTTATTTATCTGCATATTTATTATATTGGATGCTCTTATTCCATCATAGAGATCTGGGTTTCCATCTGCTACAATTTTCCTTCAGGCTGAGCGCTTCCTTTGGTGTATCTTCTACTCTTAGTCTGCTCGTGACACATTCTACTTTTCAAAATTCTGAAAACGTCTTCATATTTTCTCCTTTTTGCTGATCAGTCAAGCTAGAGGTTTTATTGATCTGCTCAACAAACCAGCTTTTGGGTTTGTTGACTTTTTTCCCCGCTATTGCTTGTTTTCTATTTCTTTGATTCCCTTTCTTGTGCCTGCTCTGGATTTGCCTTTTCTCGTTTAAGGTATAAGCTGAATTCATCAGTTAGTGACAGTTCTTTTCCAGCGTAGCTATTTAGTGCTTTTTTTCTTTTTTAACTCTTGAAATACAGACTTTTATTTAGAAACTGTTTAAAGTAGAAAAAAACCCTGTCAAGAAAGACCAGGTGGAAAACGGGTTCCCAATAAAATGGAATTTTAGGGCAACGAAAGTCTAAAAGGCCACAAAAGAGAAACAGCACCACTGTCATTTGAACAATGGCTGGTTACTTGCATTTTTTGGCATTGTTAATCACTGAATCTGGGTTTTCCTCTGAATTCCACACAGAGCGTGCACTACACAACAATTTTATCATAAAACACTTGCTTTCTACACACTTTTTAGGACAAGCTACCACCAGAAACAAATCAATACGAATACATCAGGGGCTGAACAATCTCAGTAGTGGGTGTGATACATTTTGCAGAATCCTGCGAAAAAAGGAACTGAATAGGCTGTGGGCAAAGCAAATCAGGGAGAGCTAAGGAATGAAATATTTTAAATATTAATAATTAATTCAGACACGGTACTGTATTTTCTGCAAAAGAAAATTAACATTTAGCAACACACTAATGAATTTTCTCTCCAAAGGGATTAGTGCACTGGCAAAGCATTCGGATTACAGTGGAGAGCTGTGGACGGCAGATACCGAAAACACCCCAGCCTTGCCGATCCCAAAAACACACCAGCCCTGCCGATCCCGAAAACACCCCAGCCTTGCCGATCCCGAAAACACCCCAGCCCTGCCGATCCCGAAAACACCCCAGCCCTGCCGATCCCGAAAACACCCCAGCCCTGCCGATCCCGAAAACACCCCAGCCCTGCGGATCCCGAAAACACCCCAGCCCTGCGGATCCCGAAAACACCCCAGCCCTGCAGATCCCAAGGTAACCACGGCCTTCACTGACCACTCCCTTCGCCAGAGGCCCAGAAAGAACCTGCAGCATGATCACCTACCTGCTGCATTTCCAACTCTAAGCAGCAAACTTCAATGAGCCAAAGAGGAGTCCCCAATGGGCAAGGGGACCAGAGAAGAGAAACATGGTAAGTGTAAACCCAAAAGACAGTAAAATGGGATACAATTGCCACTGAAATCCCAGAGATGTGGAGAAGTCCTGAAAAGTAGTTGTTAGATTAAACAACTGGGCACACCTGACTTCCCCAAAAACGTAATACATGGAAATTTCGGGGACAACTGGAAAAATAGAGAAATGCTCAATGAAAACCGAGCTCTTCAACTCAAACATCGCAGGGCTGAAACACATCCTCTGTTACTCAGGCAAGGATGCCTCTTGCCTTTTTAGCAAGGATGCAACTGGTCAATGACACCAAATGGCTTTACAGGGCAACTTTTTAAATGTTCCTTTGAGACCAAAGTCTAGGCCTGTGAGGATTCAAACAGCCCTGTAAGACCTGTGACAGCAGGTTCCAAAGGGTCCAGGGTCTGACCCTTCCTTCCCAGACACAATGTCAAATGCAAAATCTCCTGTCATGTACATTTTATATTTTGAAATATGGAAGCATATTTTAAATACTCTTAAGGCATTTATTTATTTATTTATTTTGAGACGGAGTTTCGCTCTTGTTACCCAGGCTGGAGTGCAATGGCGCGATCTCGGCTCACTGCAACCTCCGCCTCCTGGGTTCAGGCAATTCTCCTGCCTCAGCCTCCTGAGTAGCTGGGATTACAGGCGCGCACCACCATGCCCAGCTAATTTTTTTTTACTTTTAGTAGAGACGGGGTTTCACCATGTTGACCAGGATGGTCTCGATCTCTTGACCTTGTGATCCACCCACCTCGGCCTCCCAAAGTGCTGGGATTACAGGCTTGAGCCACCGTGCCCGGCCAAGGCATTTATTTATTACAACATTCTCTGATTTCACATTAGCTTAAAATTCAATTCAGTCTTTACATTACTCCACTGAGGTCGCTGCCTCAGCATATAACATAACACCTCCTCCGGCACTCAGTGTGACCCGCATCCGCACAGTGAGCCCCACAGTCAGCCTCTTTGTTTCCCAGGTGAACCAACTAGATGTTAATACTGCTCTGCTACAGGGTAAAAGCTCCTAACTCGAACTTACTGGAAAAGGAGTGAAACATCTGCAAAGTGCACTTTAAGAAGAGGTACTTTTTGCTTATGAAAAGAAACCAGTGACTCCTCTAAGGATAATAAAAGGGAGTATTTTACAGTTAAGCACATGATTTGGAGTGAAGAATTTGGATGTTGCTCTGCTGATCCAGGCTGTCAATACTCTTCCTGCTCCTCCTGTGGGCCCCCTTCATAAGGTATCACAAAGCCTTCATCTGTGGCATACAGAATGTCACAGGGTCTCTGCAATACAGGGTCGTTTTCCCCCTCATTCTCCTGGCAAATCAATTCAATGTTCCGTAGCTTTCCGAAGTAGAAGTCCCTCTCTTTCTCCAAGTCTTCAACAGTAAGTTTCAATACGTTGACCTGCTGCAGCAACTCAGCTGCCTCGTCATCCCCACTGCCCACACCAGGGCCAGGCTTAGGAGCCGCAGCAGTTCTCTGTGTTGAGATGGGCCTCTGGGGAGCTGCACTACTAGCACTAAGAGGTTGCTTCCGTTTATTCAGAGCTGGAGCAGCGAGGGAGGAGCCACCGCAGTTTCTTGACCTTGTCTGGCAGCCACAGGGTCATAGTCTTTTCCATCATAGTTTGTATCAAAAAACTTCTTGAACCACTGAACAAATTCAAAATTGTCCTGAAACTTTCCTTTCACTAATTTGTCCACAGGAATTATTTTGTCAACACCCATCCTCTAAAACCCGCTTGTAGTATTTTGAAGTTCTGGATGTACTCGTGTTCTAGCTTAGCTTGGAATTTCACTTTCTTCAAGGCAATGGAGCCAGGAAACAGCATGTCCAGAAACTGACCATAGGCAGCCCCTGAGCACAACTGTTCAATCTTTGTCAGATTCAACTGCAGAGACTCATTGATCCAGGCCAGCATGTCATGTCAACTTAGATTATCACTGGTCACTGACGTTGAGTATAGTTCACTGCCATCTTCTGCTCTCGGCGGAACCGCGTCCACTGCCCACACCCGGCTCCGGTTCCGTCATCTTCTCATTCAAACTGCCAGACCCCCCATTTAGTGCTTTAAAGTTTCCTTTGCTAAAGTGAAGTACGAGGTGCTACCTTAGTGCCTCACAAATTCTAGTATGCTGTACTTCCATTTTTAAGTTCAAAATACTTCTAATTTCCCTACTGATTTGTTATTTGACCCACGGGTAATTTAGACATGTGTTACTTAGTTTCCAAGCATTTGAGGGATTTTTGAGTTATCCTTGTTATTGATTTCTAATTTATTTCCAGTGTGGTCAACAAACTTTTTTTTTTTTTTTTTTTGAGATGGAGTCTCGCTCTTGTCACCCAGGCTGGAGTGCAATGGCGCGATCTTGGCTCACCACAACCTCCGCCTCCTGTGTTCAGGCAATTCTCCTGCCTCAGCATCCTGAGTAGCTGGGATTACAGGCACGCGCCACCATGCCCAGCTAATTTTTTGTATTTTTAGTAGAGACGGGGTTTCACCATGTTGACCAGGATGGTCTCGATCTCTTGACCTCGTGATCTGCCTGCCTCGGCCTCCCAAAGTGCTGGGATTACAGGCTTGACCCACCGTGCCCGACCTGCTGTTGTTGGTTTTAATGCTCTGAGTTTTCAAATCTGTTCTATGTTTACTGATTTTCTGGCTATTCGTTTTATCAATCATTGAGAGATGTTGAAATCTCCACCTATAATTGTGAAATGTTTTTGTATATTGCTCCTCGCAATTCTATCAGTTTTTGCTTCATGTATTTTGAGGCTGTTATTAGATGCATTACATTAGGATTGTTTTGTCCTTTGATGAATTACTACTTTACTGTTATTAAATGACATTCTTTATCCGTGATGTATTAGTCCATTTTGCATTGCTATAAAGGAATACCTGGGACTGGATGACTTATAAAGAAAAGAGGTTTAGGCCGGGCGCGATGGCTCATGCCTATAATCCCAGCACTTTGGGAGGCCGAGGCAGGTGGATCACGAGGTCAAGAGATCGAGACCATTCTGGTCAACATGGTGAAACCCCGTCTCTACTAAAAATACAAAAAATTAGCTGGGCATGGTGGCATGTGCCTGTAATCCCAGCTACTCGGGAGGCTGAGGCAGGAGAATTGCTTGAACCCAGGAGGCAGAGGTTGTGGTGAGCCAAGATCGCGCCATTGCACTCCAACCTGGGTAACAAGAGCAAAACTCCGTCTCAAAAAAAAAAAAGAGGTTTGTTTATTTTATTAATTGCATTTTAGGTTTTGGGGTAGATGTGCAGAACATGCAAGATAGTTGCATAGGGACACACATGGCAGTGTGATTTGCTGCCTTCCTCCCCTTCACCCACATCTGGCATTTCTCCCCATGCTATCCCTCCCCAACTACCCCAAGAGGTTTATTTTGACTCACAGTTCTACAGACTGGACAAGAAGCATAGTGCTGGCATCTGCTTCTAGTGAGGCTCTCAGGAAGCTTACACTCATGGTAGAAGGGGAAGGGGGGGAGTAGGCATGTCAAATGAGAGAGGGAACAAGAGAGACAGGGAGAATCTCAGACTTTTTAACAACCAGATCTTATGTGAACCCATTACTTCAGGAATCCCTCCCATTCATGAGGGATGCGCCCCTATGACCAAAACACCTTCCACTAGGCCCATCTCCAAAATTGGGAATCATATTTCAACATGAGATTTGGAGGGGACAAACATCCAAACTCTATCACCTGGTAACGTTATTTGCTTAGACTCCACCTGGATTGATATTAATGTAGCCACTCCATTTTCCTTTGACTGGTGTTACAGTACGTCTTTCCATCCTTTGACTTTTGTTTTTTTGGCAGGATCTCACAGTCACCCAGTCACCCAGTCACCCAGGCTGAAGTGCCGTGACGTGAACACAATTCACTGCAGCCTCCACCTCCTGGGCTCCAGCAAGCCTCCCTCTTAAGCCTTCAGAGAAGCTGAGACTGTAGGCATGCACTACCACCACTTAATTTTTGTGTGTTTTTTGTAGAGATGAGGTTTTGTTAATTTGCCCAGGCTGTTCCTGTACTCCTGGACACAAGCAGTCTACCCACCTTGGCATCCCAAAGTGTCCATCCTTTTACTTAAGCCTGTTCATGTCTTTGTATATAAAGTTTTTTGTTTTTTTCATGTGGGATGTCTATAAAGTTGGTCCGACCTTTTAATCCAACTTGATAATCTCATTTAATTGGAATATTTATATCATCTGTACTTACTGTGATTATTCATATGGTTGAGTTTAATAGACCCCTTGCTGTTTTCTTTCTGTCTCATCTGTCCTTTGTTCCCTTTTTCCTCCTTTTCTGCCATATTATGGGTTATGTTTCATGATTCCATTTTACCTCCTTTGTTGGCTTATTAGCTATACATTTTGTATGAGTTTGTGTGTGTGTGTTTATGTTTTAGGTGTTGATTTTGGGTTTATAGTATACCTTTTTAATTTAATACAGTCTCCTTTTTTAAATTTTTTATTTATTTTTTAATTTTTAGTAGAGATGGGGTTTCACCAGGTTGGTCAGGCTGGTCTTGAACTCCTGACCTCAGGTGATCCATCTGCCGTGGCCTCTGGAAGTGCTAGATTACAGGTGTGAACCACTGTGCCTGGCCCACAGACTACTTTCAAGTGAAATTACGCACCTCACATAGTGTGGAACTGTGCATTTGCACTTCCATTTCTGTCTCTCACTCTCTGCACTACTATTACTATACATTTTAATCTACATTATAAACCCATAACACGTTATCATTTTTTGTTTTAAATAGTACATTCTCTTTTAATTAAAAACTCTTTATATTTACCACATTTTAGCATTTCTATTGCTCTTTTTCAGATACAGATTTCTATTTGGAATAATTTGGCTTCTACCTAAGGAATTTCTTTAATATTTATTATGTTTAGGTCTGCTGATAAGGAGTTCTTTTAAGTTTTGTGCATCTCAGAAAGTCTTTATTTTCCTTACATTTAAAAATCATCTTCCGACTGGGTATAGAATTATGCATTTATAGTGTTTTTCTGTTGTTTTGCTTTTTGCCTCTTGATACTTTAGAGAGGTTACTGTTTCTTTTGTGTTATTCCCCCAGACGTATGCTGTTATTTTAATTTTTCTTTCTCTGCACATGCCTTTTTCTCTGCTTGCTTTGAAGATTTTTTTTTTTCTTTATCACTGGTTTTGAGCAATTTATGGTGTGCCTGGGTGTAGTTTTCTCCCTGTCCCTAGTTTTGGTGCTTGGCATTTGCAAAATTTCTTGGTTCTGTGGGTTTATAATTTTCATCAAATTTGGAAAATCTTCACTTCAATTATACATCTATTAGACCATCAGAAGTCATTTCACAATTCACTATTGCTTTTTCCCTCAATCTTGATTTTCTCTGTTTTATTTTGGATCTATTGCTATGTCTTTAAGTGTACTTATTTGTTCTTCTATGATGTCTAATCTGCTGTTGATCCAATCCAGCATGTTTTTCATCTCAGATGTTAATAGATTTCATCTCTGGAAGTTTCGTTTGAGTCATATTTAAAAGTTCTATGTGTACTTTGCATGTCCTTCTTCTAGCTTGTTAAGCATGTGAAATACAGTTATAATAGTTCTAATGTCTGATAATTCCATCATCTGTAACGTTCTGGCTTTCTTGATTTTTCTTCTCATGATGGATTGCATTTTGCTGCTTTTTTGTATGCCTTGTAATTTTTTACTGGAAACTAGATAATGTGACTTACCTTGTTGCATGTTGGATATTTTGATAATTCTACAGATATTTTTGTGTTTGTTCTAGAACACAGCTTAGCTACTTGGTAACAGTTTAATCCTTTAAGCTTTTGCTCTTAATCTTTAGGTTGTGCAGAACCAGAAGAGTGCTTAGTCTAGGGTTAATTTTTGCCATGTCTGAGGCAAAATTGTTTTGTATATTCTACCTCTTGCTAAAATAGGCAGTATTCCTGTCCTTGTGTAAGCTTTGGAGAGTGTTCCATATTTTCAAGTGGTTCTTTCCCATGCCTTGGGTAATTTCTTCATGTACATGTTTTGATCAGTGTTCATCTCAATACCTAAGGGGAAATATCTGCAGGTCTCTGGAGCTTTGTATGACACCCTCTTTCATCCTTTATCAGACTTGCAAACTTCAGCTTCTCTGACCTTCCTGGACTCCTAGCTCTGTTCCCTCTATTCAGGGAGCTGGTGAACTCTGCATGAGTTCCCTCTCTCCAGCATGGCCTAGAAACTCTTTACATGCAATACTCCAGAGCAAACATATGGCTCACTTAGATTCTCATCTCTCAGGGACCAGTTCTCCATTACCTGATGTCCAATGCCTTGAAAATCATTGCCTCACATAGTTTGTCTTTTTTTTTTCTTTTTAGTTGTTTCAAGCAGGAGATTAAATCTGGTTAGGTAGTTCATCTTGACCAGAAGCTGTAGATGATAGTGGAAACACCTGGAGAGCTTGTTACAAGTACACATATCTTGTGGGCATACACCAGTCATACTGATTTACAAACTATATCAGTTAGATAAGGGTATGGTTCTGCAATTATGTGCCAAAACTATCCCAGGCATTGGATATATAAAGTTAAATTAGGCATAACACCCGTTTGTAAAAGACTTTGAATCCACTGCGAAAGACTGGGTAAACCAGATCTTACGGTACAATGTATTAAGCATGATGTCTATATGCAGGGTGATTTGGAGCATCTTATGAGGAAAGGCATCCAAATATAGCCACGTGATGGCCAAGGGAGGGTTATCAAATGAGCCCTGGAGGAAAGGGAGGAAGTTTGGAAAGATGAGCTAGAGTTGGTTATTTTAGTGGGAATAACGAGACAGGAAGCCAGCAGTGAAGAACACTGAAAAGAGAGAGGACATTGTTATGGAGGCTCAGAAGTACCAGGCTGCAGAATACCTTTGGGGAACTGCAAAGAGTTTGGAATGGTGGGATTAGAGTGGAGGAGGAGTTGGTCTTCAGGGTCTCCATCTGTAAAAGGAGACTCCTGTATCCCCAACACTGATGACTTTCATGTGGGAGAAGAAAACAAAAGAGAATAACTCATTTCGTTGAGATGGGTAGGCTGGTAAAGCACTTGATAATAGGTAGATCCAGTTTTCTCTTGAACCTGAGAGTATGTCTGACTTACTGACTTATTCTTCAAAGGTTTATCAAGCACCAACTTGATATCAGGCCACATACTGGGTACTAGATATCCAGAAATGTATAAGACTTTATAATTGGATAGTATTTTAAAAATTGTTTTGTGTCTTAAATACTTACTCTTGAGCACATTGCTAAAAATCCTTATTCTGAACAGCCTTAATTTCAGGAATGCAATCAGTGACTGCTTTGATAGGAAACTGGCAGCTTGGCTGAGGGCGGCACATCGCAGGGATCATCAGTGAAGACTTAACACTCACTACCAAGAACTGTTCTAAGCGCTCTACCTAAATTAACTCATTTGATCCTCAATCGGAAGACGTAGTACTTACTAATCAGAAGACACTCTTTTGACCGTAGTCTTTCTATGTATTTATTTCACCTGCTACCAATCATCGCACTACCGCAAAGAATGATGAACTCCCAGGGACCTTGGGAAGAAGAGGTGTGGTCCCTGAGAAAAGGGGTGAGGGGAATTGGAGTGACAATTTTGTACCAAATGGAAGTTTTTCAGAAAGGCATAGACAGCATTTATCTCTCCAAACAAATGGATGTAACAGTGAGCATGAGAGTGTCTTTAAGCTGTGTTCACTAACATGAGTAGCAACGTCTTCCGAGGTATGAGGCCACCCCAAGTACAGCTGAAAAATAGACTAGAAACTGAGCCATAAGCGCATGCAGTTTATCATTTCACTCTTGTGAGGTCAGCAGACGTCTGTAACCCACTTTCCCTGCAGCAGCTAACAAGGCAGGATGACGGTGTCTGTTCTGAACATTTAAAACAACATTACCACTTGTCTTTATAGATTTCCTCAGTCACTAAACGTAGGGCCTGAGAAACATCAATGTCACGGACCATGCTGCTACATTCTATGAGCTGGAGATGAACAAGGGTTCTCTTGAGGCCTCTCCGGTCACAGGAATAATGGTCTTGAAAACGTCAATGCTCCATCTGCCTTGTATATTGTAATCTTCTCCTCTAGTCCATCTGAGGCCGATGTGCACAGGACCACAGTAGGATGATGAGTATTCCTGATGACAAATCTGATATTTCAGTCTACTTCTTCATGTGATATTCCAAGTATTTTTTCCTAGAGGGGGAAGAAAATAGATTCTCAAAATTCCAAGTTAGATTTACTGTTGAAGTGAAAACATGTCCCAGGCATGACCCAAGGCTCAGGAGACCATGTTAGTTTGGGGGAGGGTTTGGAGAGGTGACTGGCATTCTTGGTATGCCTGCAAGGAAAATATCAGCTAAGGTCTTATGTTACATACCCAGAGCTAACAGGCTGGATCTTTTCTTGAAGATGGGAACGTTCTGAGGATGTATTTAAAATTTTTTTTAAAGTGGGTACTGAAAGGTCAATGACCATGGAGGTTACAAAGTCTCCTTTCAAAGTGCTATAGAATGGGTGAGGTTGCAGGACTGCAGGGTAACTATGTGAATGGTGCTCCACAGGGAGAACGAGGAGCCACGAGTACATTCAAATCTCATGGTAGCTTTTTTGGCATGCCTTGTAGATAGAGTGGCCATTCATTCATTTGATCGATTCATTCATCGTTCTACAAGTACTGGCTGAACATGTATGGTGTTATGTAGAGGAATGGGAGCTATGGGAGATTAAAGGAGCTATCATAAAATACATGATCTCACCCTTACAGATTTGCGGTTTAGTTGGGAAGATGAGATGTACTCGTATGAAATGTGGAATACTGAGAGAGTTAGGAACCCGGAGCTTCTGGAAAGCTCGTGCATGGGAATCAATTTCTCTCCTCCCACACTACTGCAAGGACAGCACAGAGAGCCATCGAGACACTTGGTGCCAGTGGAAGTCCCAGGAGGCTTACTTCCCAGTGTCTTCTTTTTTTCCTATTAAGGGACTCTGAGCACACGTCCCAGTCCACATCTCCTTCACACTTCCATAGCTCATAAATATTCTTTATCAACATCCTTTTTTTTTTTGATCTATACTTTGGAAAAATTAGTCATCCCTCTCACATTCTTTTCTTCCCTCTCCTAATTTCCACTTACGTGCTCCAAATTAAACTTAACTATGGCCAAGAGTTAAGATTAAGGTTTATGATAACTTGGATAAGAAATACATTTTGAATGAAAACTACGGGTGTTAAAGAACTAGTGCCACCAATTTCTAAAGCCTTTGGAAATCTGCTTTAGTATTTCTACCGAATAATTCATGTTTTTTCTCTAATTGGAACTTTTTTCCCTCTAGTACCAGCAGCCAAATTAAAAAACTATACATTGATTTCTCTGACCCCTTTTTGATTATTTTATTTTATTTTATTTTATTTTTGAGGAAGGGAGGGAGGGAGGGAAGGGAAGGGAAGGAAGGAATTCAAGCAATGAGAGAGACATTGCCGACCTGGATCTAGAGGTTTACAAGTTGATTTCTTTTTTTTTTTTTGAGTGAAGGAAAGAAGAAAAAAATGAGTAAAGGAGAGGAAGAAAGAGGAATAGAAAGAGGGAGAGTGAGTGGAAATATTGCTTTATTCTTAAAAAAGGGTATTAATAATGGCCAATCAATGTTTCATTTAAACCTATGTGTACGTGTGATGTGGTATTGACTAGAATGTATATTTTGTGTATTTGAAGTGGAGAGCTCTATAAATATTTATTAAGTTTACTTGTTCCGGATCTGAGTTCGAGTCCTTGATATCCTTATTAATTTTCTGTCTCATTGAGTCTAAGTCTCTATGTATCTGGGTGTTAGGATCGTTAGCTCTTGTTGTTGCATTGATCCTTTTACCACTATATCTTTGTTGCTTTAAAATCTATTTTATCCGCTACGAGAATTGCAACTGCTGCTTTTTATTTATTTATTTATTTATTTATTTATTTATTTATTTTTGCTCTCCATTTGGTTGGTAAATCTTTCTCGATCCCTTTGTTTTGAGTCTTTGTGTATCCTTGCCTGTGAAACAGGTCTGGATGTAACATGCTGTTGGGTTTTGGCTGTGTCTTTTGATTGGGGGATTTAGTCGATTTAAATTTAGGGTTACTGCCCTTTGATGTTAACGGGCTATTTTATCCATTCGTTGGTGTAAATTCTTCTTTATGTTGGTGCTCTTTACTTTTTGGTGTATTTTTAGAAAGGCTAATACTAGTTGTTTCTTTCTGTGTGTAATGCTTCTTTCAGAAGCTCTTGTAAAGCAGGCCTGGTGGTAATAAAATCTCTGAGTTCTTGCTTGTTCATAAAAGATTTTATTTTTCCTTTAGTTGTGAAGCTTAGTTTGGCTGGATATGAAATTCTGGGCTGAAGGTTCTGTTCTTTGAGGATGTTGAATATTGGCCCCCACTCTCTTCTGGCTTGTAGAGTTTCTGCTGAGAGATCTGCTGTAAGTCTGATAGGCTTGCCTTTGTAGGTAACCTGACCTTTCTCTCTGGCTGCCCTTAGTATTTTCTCCTTCGTTTCAGCCCTAGTGAATCTAATGATTATGTGCCTTGGGGTTGGTCTTCTTGAGGAATATCTTTGTGGTGTTCTCTGTATTACCTGGGGTTGAATATTGACCTGCTTTGCTAGTTTAGGAAAATTTTCCTGAATAATTTCCTGAAGGGTATTTTCCATCTTGGATTCATTCTCTCCGTTGCATTCAGGTACACCTATCAAACGTAAATTTGGTCTTTTCACATAGTCCCACATTTCTTGGAGACTTTGCTCATTCCTTTTTAGCCTTTTTTCTCTAATCTTGTCTTCTTGTTTTATTTCATTAAGTTGGACTTTGACCTCTGATATCCCTTCTTCTGCTTGAACAATTCGAGTGCTTAAACTTGTGCAAACTTCTCGGAGTTCCTGTATTGTATTCTTCAGTTCCATTAATTCACTCATACTCCTCTCTAAGTTGTCTATTCTCAATAGGATTTCATCAAACTTTTTTTCAAAGTTCCTAGTTTCTTTACGTTGGGCTACAACATGTTCTTTTAACTCACTGAAGTTTGTTATTATCCATTCCCTGAAGCGTGATTCTAGCATTGGGGTGTGCTTGTTCTCCATCAAGCCTTGTTCCATTGTTGATGTGGAACTGTGATCATCTTTAGAGGCAGAGGCGTTCTAACTTTGAGTAGTCTCAGCTTTTTTACGCTGGTTTCTTCCCATCATTGTAAATTTATCCTCCTGTGGTCTTTGAGTTTACCAACTTTCGGATTAGGTCTCTTGAGTGGGTGTCCAGGTTGTTAGTTCCCAGGGCCAGAGCAGTGGCAGTGTTAAGACTGATGGTGCTTTTCTGCCCAGGATTCTCCTGTCTGGCTTCCTTCTTGTGTCCGTAGTGGGCGACTCTGCCTTCCCAGGGCTCCAAACCTCGGTCAGAAGGGGAGCCGGTCCCGTTTACTCTGCGCCGAGCGCTGCCGTGTCGAGGTGCCGTCACAGCTGCTGCGCCAGGCTCTGGTGTCATGCTGGGGACCCGTGTGGGTCCTCCGAACCTGTTTACTCTGCTCTGAGAGCTGCCGCGCCAGGCGCCGGCGGAACCGCTGTGCCGCCACGAAAGTCGCTCTGGCGACCCCTGTGATTCCTCTATTGGGGGATCTTCTGCTCCGTGAGTGACCAGAATTTGTCTGAAAGTGTGGCGTCCTCTAGTTCTCTGCGCCTTCACTGAGAGCTGCAGTCCCGAGATGTTAGCGATCGGCCATCTTGGATCGGTCCCCCCCTTTTTGATTATTAGAATTATAACTGCCAGTTTTGTAAAAGATTGATTGAAATACAGTTGTGCTATAAAATTCACTTATTCAGTGAATTAGTGTATTCACTTTCAGTCCAGTCACAGAGTTATGCAAACGTCGCCTCTGATTTTAGAACATTATCAGCACTCCAAAAAGAAACTTCAGCTCCATTAGCAATTATTCCCATTCTCTTACCCTCAGCTCCTGGCAACCAGTCTACTTTATGTATCTGTACATTTGCCTGTTAAGGACACTTCATATACATGGAGTCATCCAGTATATAACCTTTTTGCCTGACGTTTTTTCACTTAGCGTAATGTTTTTAAGGTTCATCCTTATATCAATACTTGCTTTATTTTTTATTTATTTATTGTTTTTTGAGATGGAGTTTCACTTTTGTTACTGAGGCTGGAGTGCAATGGCGCGATCTCGGCTCACCGCAACCTCCGCCTTCTGGGTTCAGGCGATTCTCCTGCCTCGGCCTCCTGAGTAGCTGGGATTACAGGCTTGAGCCACCGCGCCTGGCCCTACTTGCTTTATTTTTATAGCTGAATAATACTCCATTGTGTGGCTATCTTACATTTTCCTTATCCATTCATCATTCATCAGTTGATGGACATTTGGGTTGCTTCCACTTTTTGGCTGATGGAAGCTGTGAACATTCATGTACAAATTTTCATATGAAAATATGTTTTCAACTTTCTTGGGTATATATCCAGGAGTGGAATTGGTAACTTTATATTTACCATTTTGGGGAACTCTCAAGTTGTTTTCCAAAGGGACTGCACCATTTTACAATCCACCCAGCAATATTAAAGTTTCCCGTTTCTCCACATCCTCACCAACATCAATACCTTTCTTTTTCATTTTGGCCATCAGAGTGGATAGAAAATGATGCTTTGATTTGCATTTTCCTACTGTTGAAAGGAAGATGTTAAACAAACAGCTTTTCATGTACTTTTAGCCATTTGTATATATTCTTCGGAGAAGTGTCTATTCAAATCCATTGCCCATTAGAAAATTGGGTTATTTGACATTTTATTCTTCAATTGTAATAGGTAATTATGTATTCTAGATATGTCTTTTATGAGAAATATTATTTGCAAGTATTTTCCCCCATTCCGTGGGGTTTTTTTTTCCACTTTCTTGGTGGTGTTCTTGGAAGCACAAAACAAAATCCAATGTATCTGTTCTTTTGTTGCTTGTGCTTTTGGGACAGAACCACTGCTTTTTATAGCATATTTATGGTATTTTAGCTACTTTAGTGGGTTAAATAGATTTTTGAGAGCTGGCCTGTGAATCTAATTAATAATTGTAGTTTTTCTGAGAAAATATATTAAGAGGACTAACAATGATTTTCTTAAATGAATGCTTGAAACATAGTCAATTGGGAATTTGATAATTTCCTGTATATTATTATGGTGCAAACATGAAATGTTAGAGATTAGAGGCTGTGCAGCCTTTGAGCTGGAAGGGTCAGGAGAGGCTTTGGGGCAGATGAGGGCTCAAGAGGGTTGTTGGGGTGCAGGGGATCCTGGAAAGCAGAATAGGTAGAACTAAAATAATGTCAAGGAATCTGTCCTCCTTTTAGAATGAGCTAGGGCAGCTTGAGTTTAGAATATTTAAGAGCCTTGGGAGTTATAGCTGGTGCAAAAGCGGAAAATAGAAAGGAACTCAATGTGCAGTCAATGAAGACCATGGAGAGCACTGAGGACCATGGCAGCCACTGAAGACCATGGCGAGCACTGAGGACCATGGCGAGCACTGAGGACTATGGCGAGCACTGAGGACCATGGCAGCCACTGAAGACCATGGCGAGCACTGAGGACCATGGCAGCCACTGAGGACCATGATGAGCACTAAGGACCATAATAGCCACTGAAGACCATGGCGAGCACTGAGGACCATGGCGAGCACTGAGGACCATGGCGAGCACTGAGGACCATGGCAGCCACTGAAGACCATGGCGAGCACTGAGGACCATGGCGGCCACTGAAGACCATGGCGAGCACTGAGGACCATAACAGCCACTGAAGACCATGGCGAGCACTGAGGACCATGGCAGCCACTGAAGACCATGGCGAGCACTGAGGACCATGGCAGCCACTGAAGACTATGGCGAGCACTGAGGACCATGGCAGCCACTGAGGACCATGGCAGCCACTGAGGACCATAACAGCCACTGAAGACCATGGCGAGCACTGAGGACCATGGCGAGCACTGAGGACCATGGCGAGCACTGAGGACCATAACAGCCACTGAAGACCATGGCGAGCACTGAGGACCATGGCGAGCACTGAGGACCATAACAGCCACTGAAGACCATGGCGAGCACTGAGGACCATGGCGAGCACTGAGGACCATAACAGCCACTGAAGACCATGGCGAGCACTGAGGACCATGGCGAGCACTGAGGACCATGGCAGCCACTGAAGACCATGGCGAGCACTGAGGACCATGGCGAGCACTGAGGACCATGGTGAGCACTGAGGACCATGGCGGCCACTGAAGACCATGGCGAGCACTGAGGACCATGGCAGCCACTGAAGACCATGGCGAGCACTGAGGACCATGGCGAGCACTGAGGACCATGGAGGCTGCCGAGGACCATGGCGAGCACTGAGGACCATGGCGGCCACTGAAGACCATGGCGGCCACTGAAGACCATGGCGAGCACTGAGGACCATGGCAGCCACTGAAGACCATGGCGAGCACTGAGGACCATGGCGAGCACTGAGGACCATGGAGGCTGCCGAGGACCATGACAGGCACTGAGGACCATGGCGGCCACTGAGGACCATGGCGAGCACTGAGGACCATGGCGGCCACTGAGGACCATGGCAGGCACTTCAGACCATTGGTCAAGATCAGTTGCACTTTCCTTCTATGAGCAAAGAGACCAAGACGGTGCGGAGGTCCCAGGGTCACTCCAGCCATGCCTAGAGCCGACTCAATGCTCCTGCTGGCTCCTGGACCGTTCTAGTGTAAAGAGTACTAAGGAAAATGTGGGGCGAAGGTCTGTCTGCCTAGGAATGCCTAGGCCTGTTGAGAGTTAAAGTCCTGGGGTAGCACATTTTGACACGGTGGACCTTATATAGCCATTTGAACGTGGCGGTTTGAAGGAGATCTGAGGAAATGGGGATGACGGATGGGAGAGGATTTGAGGCACAGGAGGAAGAGGTCTGTTTTGACCAGTATCAGGTAATTGAAAATAGATGAAGGCTTAACTGTATGCTTTTTATTTGTTAACAAAATGTTCCCCTCAAATGGCTGGGTCAAAGCAGCAATGACAAAAATGTCATGAACCCTGAGTCTCTTCATGAGGCTTAGTCCCTGCGACCTGTAAGTCGCTGCAAGTGTGAGGAACTGCCTGCCTGCCCTTGTCTCCCTGCCAGGCTTCCGTTGCCTGCAAAATTTGTGAGAACAGAAATTACATCTATCTAAACATTTCTTATCTCAGCATCTCCTCATTTCCTGTTTTATCTGACCAGTCCCTCTGCGTCCATACACATACCCTACATACACTTGAAGAGCTCAGTAAATATTTATTGACGATGAAGATAATCACTAAAAATATGTTCCCATCAATGGGATTTATCTCTTGCCACTCAAGTGTCCTAAACTCATGAGAACTGCTTCACAGATGTGTTCCCTTCATTAAAAAAAAAAAAAAAATCCCATCCCATCTCTTCTGAGTTCTGAGAAAATTTGTTTTAAAATAGGATACACTTACCCATCCCCCGTGCTGCTGGATCCATGGAGAGAAGTTCTCTTTCAGGTACTTACTGCCAAAGCCCAGCACCCTGTTCATCGGATGGTTGTCAATAGCTGTGAGCTTGGCCATGGCGTCTATTGCAAGGGCAGCCTTAAAGCTATGAGCTTTGACCTCTGATTCTCCCCTGGTGTCCACACCCATTAGGACCCGGTCTGTGATGGTCTTAAAAACAGAGTAGGGCAGCCCATCCTGGAAGAGGCCCATCAAAGCCTTGTCTTTCTTAAGCTGTATACAAGAGAATAAGCACTTAGTACGGTAGCTTGGCTCCATGAGGCAGACAGAAAACCATTCTTCATCTCAAATCAGGCCATCAAACCAACCCGTGGCAAACCCTGGATGTTAACTAAGGGAATGGGGATGAAGGCGGTGTCCTGCAGAACCAGAATGGGCATGTGCTGCTCGGTGAATTCATTTCATCGGCACAAATATGTGGTAAAATGGAACAGTTCATTCATTTGACATTCAACAGTTATTTCCCAAGCACTTACAATGGGCAGGTAGTGTGGATGACCGAGATGCAGGTCCTCACCCATAGGGCTCACAGTCTGGTGAGAATTGCAAAACAATGTGATGTGCTTTGCCAGAGGTAGTGTGAAGCTCAGGAACCACTGTCTTGGTTCAAACCCTGGGCCCACCTCTTACTTGGCCTGCAATCTTGGGGAAATTACTTCACCTCTCAGATTCAGTTTGTCATCTCTAAACTAGGATGGTGATAGTATTGATACTACAGGGTAATCGTTTTCATTTTCTTTTTCCTTTCTTTCTTTCTCTTTTTTGGAGATAGGGTTTCACTCCCATTGCCCAGGCTGGAATGCAGTGGTGTGGTGTTGGCTCACTGCAACCTCTGCCTCCTGGGCTCAAGTGATTCTCTTGCCTCAGCTTCCCAAGTAGATGGGACTACAGGTGCATGCTACCATGCCTGGCTAATTTTTTTTGTAGAGATGAGGTTTTGCCATGTTGCCCACTCCTGAGCTCAAGTGATCAACCCACCTCAGCTTCCCAAAGTGTTGGGATTACATTTGTGGGCCCCTGCACACAGTCTTCATTTCATTTCCCTCCCTTCCTCCCTCCTTTCCCTTTCCCTCTCCTCTCCTCTCCTCCTCTCCTCCTCTCCTCTCCTCCTCTCCTCCTCTCCTCTCCTCCCCTCCCCTCCCCTCCTCCCCTCCTCCCCTCCTCCCCTCCTCCCTTCCTCCCCTCCTCCTTCCCTCCCCCCCTTTCCTCTCCTCCCTCCCTCTCTCTTTTCCCTTCCTTCTTTCTTTCTTTTCTTTTCTTCTTTTCTTTTTCTTTCTTTGATGGAGTCTCACTTTGTCACCCAAGCTAGAGTGCAGAGGTCCAAGCTCAGCTCACTGCAAACTCCACCTCCCAGGCTCAAGCGATTCTCCTGTCTCAGCCTCCTGAGTAGCTGGGACTACAGGTGCACACCACCACACCGGGCTAATTTTTATATTTTTAGTAGAGATGGGGTTTCACCATGTTGGCCAGCTGGTCTTGAACTCCTAACCTCAGGTGATCCACCCACTTTGGACTCCTAAAGTGTTGGGATTACAGGCGTGAGCCACCGCACCCATCCCCAGCCTTCATTTTCTTTTCTTTTTTGAGACAGACTCTTGCTCAGTTGCCAGACTGGAGTGCAGTGGCACAATCTTGGCTCACTGCAACTTCCGCCTCCTGGGTTCAAGTGATTCCCCTGCCTCAGCCTCCCAAGTAGCTGGGATTATAGGCGTGCACCACCACACCTGGCTAATTTTTTTTATATTTTGGTAGAAATGGGGTTTCACCATGTTGGCCAGGATGGTCTCGATCTCCCGACCTTGTGATCCTCCCAAAGTGTTGGGATTACAGGCACGAGCCACTGTGCCCAGCCTTTCATTTTCCTAAAAAACTTTTATTATTTTTTTTTAGGGACAAGGTCTTACTATGTTGCCCAGGCTGGTCTCAAACTCCTGACCTCAAGCAATCCTCCCACCTCATCCTCCCCGGGAGCTGGGATTACAAGTATGAGCCACTGTGCTTGGCCCTATAGTATAGGGTAGTTGAACACTTTATTGGGCTGGATGTAGAAGAGGTGTGAGTTAGGAAGTGTGAGTTATTTTCCAGGGTGCTATGGAAGCATGGAGGTCAGGGAAGACTCCCTGGAGTGCATGTTTGCTTAAAAAAACAACTCTAATTCTTTGATTTCTTTCCCATTATTCTACCTTATTGATTTTACCCTCCACCCCTTGAACCTGGTATCTGTCTGCTTTACCTCCCTTGAGCTACCATGCCTTTAAAACGAAATCAGTGCTGCCTCTGCTGCTTTTGAAAAATCAGGGCTCATATCAAAAAGCGATGTATCATCTTCATTTAAAGCATTCCTGCCGCGTCTGTTAATATGCTGGTCGTCGTGAAAATGGAAATGTTTTAGTAAGCAGGGCCGAAATATTTATTTGAAAATCCTCTAGTTCTGTCCTTGAGGAAGGATCAGCCAAGCAAGTTTTCAACAAATATTGTTTCTAAGAGGGATATCTGGGGGATGAGTCATGTGATTGGAAGACTTTGGCGGACTTGTCCTTTCCCTGAACCAAGCCCTCCCCCATCGTCCAGGCCTCGTCTGGGTTGTGAATCTGCAGCAGGCGTGGCCAGCCTCCTTCATAACAGGGAATGGACTCTGCTTCATCAGTTTCCCAATGGAGGAGGCCAGGCTCAAAACCCTAGCAGGCAACCGAATCGGGATTGTGCCAGAACAGTATAAGAATCAAACGCCAGAAAGACAGGCCGTCCACAGGCACCTCCTCACCCTTCCCCTGCCTGTCCCATGTGGCTACACCTGGCTCTTTGGCCTTTCCGGGAGGTGTAGGATGGGCCTTCAGGCTGCATGCGCTCTCGGGACCAGCGGCTTTGCAGATGCCCTGTGGTCACACACATAGCACTCTGCAGTGGGAGCCTGGCACCCACCCAGCACGAGGTCACACCTACCATGTGTCCCTAGCAGAGCTCCCTACTGAAGAAGGGTGTAAATGAAATAACAACCAAGGCTTTGCCATAAACAATGTAAAATATCCAAACTCAGGAGAGCCCCAGGCAAATTGAGGTTGTTGGAAGTGGTAATTTGTGGGGTGAAAATGAAACCATCGCTCTTCATAACCTGAGAGGTGGCTTCATCCCACTTCCAGCACCCCCACTCCACCTTTGCCACCTCCCTGACCGGTGACCACAAGTCACTGCTTAGGGAAGCTGGGAAAGACGTTGCCATGAGAGCCGCAGAAACTCCGAGTTAAAGAGCCCTTGAAGAGGCCTACAGGACCCCTTGGAGTTCTGTGCTGAACTACTAACTGGTATTGGCACCTACTTGCAGTTCTTCCTGTGACAGGAAGAGCGTTCCCTCACAAGGTGGCTGTTGACTCTGATGGTCTGGAGTGCCAGGAGGTTCATTCTTACAATAAGGAGAAATCAATTACCCCATACTTTCTGTATGGTACTAGCTCTGGAGAAATGCAGGGGTACCCTTAAATCATGCACCTGTTCTATCTCTTGCTTCCTCTGCACACCACTCCACACTCTACTTGTGGCCCCAAAGCTCACACACCCTCTTCTCTTTTCTTTAACATAATATCCCTGGTTTTCTCACTGTTTCTCATTCTGTCTCATCTCTGACCCAGGTGCCCTCTGAGTCACCAGCCTCTGGCCACACTTCTGACAAAGCTATAGAGACTGGAGCTGTTTTGTCTTCCCACAGAACCTCCCATCCCCAGCCCCAGGGTCTGACTCCCTCCCCAGAGATTCTGGCAAAACAAGAACCCGTGTCTGCAAGCCAGACCCTGACTGACAGATCCTAGAGACTACTCAGTTGTCTGTGGGTTACGGACCCTTGAGGCACATAGAAGCCCTTCTGACTCCACTGAAGGTTTGCTCACCAACTCTTTTTTTTTTTGAGACAGAATTTCACTCTTGTTGCCCAAGCTGGAGTGCAATGGCACCATCTCAGCTCACCGCAACCTCTGCCTCCCCGATTCAAGCAATGGTCCTGCCTCAGTCTCCCGAGTAGCTGGGATTACAGGCGTGCACCACCATGCCCGGCTCATTTTGTATTTTTAGTAGAGACAGGGTTTCTCCATGTTGGTTAGGCTGATTTTGAACTCCCAATCTGAGGTGATCCACCCACCTTGGCCTCCCAAAGTTCTGGGATTACAGGCGTGAGTCATCACGGCCAGCCTTGCTCACCAACTCTTAACCTGAAGGCAACTCTCACCCATTCCTGATTGGAAGGACGGGTCTCCACTTCCAACGGGCAGGAAATCCATACATTCTAGTAACACTAGCATGCTTCCCTGGCTGAATTGCTAAGAGAGCCCATAAGCAGACAACAGTCCAGCAACTACAGGGAGAAAAGATTCCAGAAAGTATTCCAGCTTCGGAGCAACTGCAGGACACAGATATCCAGGCAGCAAAGCCAGTATGAGTCTAAACTTCAGTGAGGATCAGTTACATGGGGAACGAGATTAATCATTCCATCCAGCAAATTTTAATTTACTGGTGTCTTTTCTTGCAATAACGAGCTCCTTTTTTAGTTTCCAAAAATTCCAAGGAGGCTCCAGAAGGTTTACTTATGTTTTCCAAAGTGATTCATTTTTGAGATTCTACCAGCATAAAGAATTTTGACTCCAAGGGAAATAAAATTTAGGACTAAGTAGAAACCAGAACTTAAAAAGGGAGTAAGGCTGAAGCTGGAGAGTAATTCCATTCTCGTGCACTAGTGCATGGGCACAGAAATCAGTCGCATGGGTTCAGGTGCTCCATACCTTTATTTCCATCTCATCTCCGGAATATTTCAGTAGCTCAACAATTCTGGCTATTATTTGTTCTTGTTCAGCTGTCGGGAAAAATTCCAGTTATTTCTTTTAGGAGAAGCAAAAAATAATCTTACATGTTTCCAGGGACAATGAATGCTTGTGGCTTGGTAAGGGCTGGAGGAAGAAGCATGCTAATTCTTAGCAAGTAAAGCTTACCTCACCTCTTCTGCCCAGACACAAGCCATGCTAGGCATTTCTCCCAGCCCTGTCCTTTCCTTCTGTCCCCTTCTTCCTTTGCTTGGTCCCCCAAATCACTGTGAAACTCATCCCTGTCGTTACATCAAGCTTGTTATTGAATACATCGGTTCCACAGCACAGGATTCTGTCTATAAAGATATTTAGGAGGAATATTCTTCTGGTTTTTGGATTTTTCCTCAGCAGATGGTGTTTTTATCTTATATTTGATCATATTTCCCTCTTTGTGTTAGTTGCTAGAAAGTACAGAGCCAAATTTGTGGCCCACATTTAAGAGGGAGAATAGTCTTGCTGGCCTACATTTTGGAAATTAACCTAATTACTAAATCCATCTTATTTTCCTGTTTTTGTTTTCTTTTTACAAAAATAGCTTTCACACTGATGGATTTTATCTGGCTAAAATTTATTCTTTGTATGCTGGGTGTTGATAATAAGGTGAGATATAAATAAGTAAAATTAATAAATTCCCCCACGCCCAAGACTAAAAGGGCAGATGGATAGGAAGATGGCCACAGTTGGTGTGTGGTGTGTGGTGTGTGGTGGGGGAACAGGGGAGGTGGAATATGTGAGTCTCGCTCCGTCACCCAGGCTGGAGTACAGTGGTGCGATCTCAGCTCACTGAAACCTCCACCTCCTGGGTTCAAGTGATTCTCCTGCCTCAGCCTGCCAAGTAGCTGGGACTACAGGTATGCACCACCACCCCTGGGTAATCTTTTGTATTTTTAGTAGAGATGGTGTTTTGCTACATTGGCCAGGCTGGTCTTGTAGCCTCAAGTGATCCTGCTTTGGCCTCCTGAAGTGCTTGGATTACAGGCATGAGCCACTGTGCCCAGCCTCAGCAAAATAAACATTCTTTTTTTTTTTAGACAGAGTTTCCCTGTTGTTACCCAAACTGGAATGCAATGGCGCGATCTCGGCTCACCGCAACCTCCGCCTCCTGGGTTCAGGCAATTCTCCTGCCTCAGCCTCCCGAGGAGCTGGGACTACAGGCGCGCACCACCATGCCCAGCTAATTTTTGTATTTTTAGTAGAGACGGGGTTTCACCTTGTTGACCAGAATGGTCTCGATCTCTTGACCTCGTGATCCACCCGCCTCGGCCTCCCAAAGTGCTGGGATTACAGGCGTGAGCCACCGTGCCCGGCCTCATTTTCTAACAAAGAGTAGCCCGTAAAATTAAGCTGCAGATATAGACAAGCAAGTTAGAAGCTTGCATGGTGAATGTTGGCAGCTGTGCCAATAGGAAAAGGCCACCTGGGACTAGGCATGTCCAACACGGCGGCTCCATCTTCCCTTTTCCTTTCCAACCATGTGTGCGATAGGGAGCGGATAACATGGTGCCGGCCAAGTGGAAAGCCCACTGCAGAATAAGATGGGGGGGCGGTGGCCAGCATCCCCATGCTGTGTAAACATCACACCCGGTCCAGCTGATCTTTAGGCCCTATGTGAACCAGACACCACCACCTCAAGTCTGTCTATAAAATCCGGTGCACTGTGTCGCAGGCCGGAAGTCCCCTTTGGGCTCTCCTCTCCGTTGCAGGAGAGAGAGCTGTTCTCCTTTCCTTTCGTTTTGCCTATTAAACCTCCGCTCCTAAACCTACTTCTTGTGTTTCTGTGTCCTCGATTCCCTTGGCGTGAGACAACGAACCTCAGGTATTTGCTCCAGACAATGATGCTGCGTCATCACCACCTCCACCGGAGTTTGCGGGGAGAGCCAGGAGCAAGGACGGTGGTGGGGGAATGCCGGGCCGAGCTTCTCTTCCGGCGGCATGTGGCCTTGCTCCCCTCGACTCTCCCCTCAGTGCCCCAGGTTACCACCAGCCTGATGGGATCTGCAGTCTCAGCTATTGCTATGGTTTGGGTGACAATTGACCCAGCCTTGTCACCGCTCTGTTCTGCTCCATGTCTTGCACCATAGGTGGTGCCTGGCAACCCCCTGCTTTTTCACAAAGCCCTAAAGCAATGTTAAAATAAAAATCCCTGGCTGGACGCTCCAGCTGTACCTGGTGCACTGGGAACATGATCCGATCTAACACTGCATTTCCCGCTATGGACAAGGCTGAGTCCAGGCTTGGTTTCCTCCTCTCCCTCTGTAAGAGACTTTCCTTCTGACTTAGCAGAGAGCGGGGCACGTTGGTTCAGCCTACTGGGGCAGCCCCCTTGCCTTGGGCTGATGTCTCAAGGGGGAGCTCAGCGCCCACAGCATGTGGCTATCAAGCCCTCAGTCCAGGCAGCCTAGACTGTCAATTTGCATAGCACCAGGATGGATTAATACACATCCATTAATACAGCTCCCGCGCCCCTGCCTGGCAAACACTCCACCCAGGGAGGGAAAGCTTACCTTTCTTAGAACTTGAAAGGCCTTGACGCTCAGCGATGAGACCAACCACAAAAGTGTCTTTGGACTTGAAGCCTCTTGCCTGGGTCACTTCTGGAGGTGGCCACGAATAAACAATTTCAGCTACTCGGTTGGCAATGGAAATGACTTTGGGGTCCACAGCTGAAACAAGACGAAATGGTGCTGAGAGGCCCTTCCCAGAACTTCGTCAGGCTCATTAGTATGCAAAGTCACCCGGAATGAAAAGAGCAGCCCGAGTAGAAGAAAGGTGCCTGGGAGTGTGTGTGGTGGGGGAGGGTCGTTCTTCAGAAAGGACTGAACGTTGCCTGGCAGAGGCGGGGGATGTGGGAGGAGTGCGCACAGGAATGATTGTCACCTTGAAACAACTGGCCTTCTGCACACTCTTTTTGAAGTCTTGCAAAATTAGGGTCTCCTTTCCCCTTTGCAAGGAAGGAAACACAAAAAGCAGTGCTTAGCTCTTTACTTGAGAGAATGCTCATTATACTTTTCTTTTTATTCCTTTTTCTCGACATGCTTTATACCTCTAAGAGCCAGCGCCTTCGTGCATAGGAGGACATTCAATAGTTTGACAAGCATTTGGGGGTTGGTCACTGAGGAAAGAAATATCCCTATTCTCAGGCCATTGAGATTCATCATCAAGTCCATTAACAAGTGAACACCTAACTCCCCTAGCTGGTACAGTCCCGTGTCTTCTCTCCCTTCCATGTCTACGGGAAAGCATTCAGTTAAATGCTTATAGGTAAACAAGGATGAGTTCAGCACAACTCAGGGCCTTCAAGAATTTACAACCCGAGAAAAGAGTTACATTTATGGATTTGCATACAGAATTGTAGAATAAAGCACTTCGAGGTAGGAAGGTGAAATGGCATTGGTCCCATGAATGCTGTAGCCTGTAAAAAAAAGACTAGTCACTTTTGCCCCTAAGCGGGGACAAGGGGCGGTGGGGTGAGCAGGTGGCATGTCTGAGTCGCTGGGTGGTAAAATTTTCATTGTTGATTTGTCACTAAGTTCCAACCTTTTGTTTATTTATTTTTTTTTTCCCCAGACAGAGCCTTACTCTGTCACCTAGGCTGGAGTGCAGTGGTGTGATCACAGTTCACTGCAGCTTGGACCTCTCAGGCTCAAGCGATTCTCCCACCTCAGCCTCATGAGTAGCTGGGATGACAGGTGTGCATCACCATGCCTGGCTAATTTATTAAAATTCTTTTTCTAGAGATGGGATCTCCCTGTGTTACCCAGGTTGGTCTTGAACTCCTAAGCTCAAGCAGTCCTCCCACTTCAGCCTCCCAAAGTGCTAGGATTATAAGCATGAGCCACCACCACACCCAACCTAAACTCTAAACTTTTAAAAGCTTGTACAAGCTGTCTTGGATGCCGTCTGTAGCAGCTTGGTTTTACCACATAGCATTTGAAGAATAACACTAGGTAATTCACAGGACTTGAAAACAGTAACAAAGTGGCATTTTGGCCAGAGGTTCGGTGTGCTCAAACTCCTAGGGCACTCCTGGGCATTGTACAGCACAGTAGGTAAGAGAGGCAACGGGGGGCCTGGGAGGAGAAACAGGTTTTAACATCATACAGAGCTGCCAAGGTGGCTCCTGATCCCTCTCCCTGGATTCCTCTGCAGCTGAGGGCTTCAGTGTCCTCCCTTCAGCCCTCCAGCCATACACGGAAAGGCCACAGAAGATACTGCTCTGTCCATGATGCCATCCTTTGGTGGATGTCTGTCTTATGAAGCCATCTTTTTCATGCTTAGTCCACAGGGTTAAAAAAAACAATAAGGAGCAAATTACAGAAGAAAGATCAAGAAGAAAAGGATCGATGTCTTTCCTCCTCATTTTAACACTCAAGCGAAACAGACTTTCTACTTTGTAATCCCCTTGTTGCAGCCCAACCAGACTCCTCTGGAGCTCCAGCCATGCACAGTCCCTGGCAAAGAAAGAGATGGCAAGAGGCTGGCTCCCAAAGCCAAGGAAACTGTCCCTGGCGATGTCCTCAGGAGATGAGAAAGGAAAGCAGGCCTCTGTTGCCTTTCCCGCCTCGTGCAGCTCATCCAGGGTGAAGAGCATGTGGCATGAGCATGTCTGGGTAACACAGACCCCATCTTTAAAAAAGATTTAAAAATAATAAAAGGGAGCTGAATTATCTAGAAAGAAGACACCATTTGCCCTTCCTTTGCTTCCTTGTTATTCCTGCCTGAGATGTAGACATGATGGGTGAAGCCCCAGCAGCCACCTTTAGAATATAAGGTGACTTTGAGGTGGAAACCACTAGCTGAGGGATGGCAGATTTCCCAGGAGTCCTTTTGGTTCACCCCTGTCACTCAGGCTGGAGTGCAGTGGTGCAATCTCGGCTCAATGCAACCTCCACCTCCCAGACTCGAGTGATTCTCCCCACTACCCTCTCCAGTATCTGAGACTACAGGCGCGTACCATCACGCCTGGTTAATTTTTGTGTTTTTCATAGAGATGGGGTTTTGTCACGTGGCCCAGGCTGGTCTCAAACCCCTTGGCTCAAGCAGCCTGCCCACCTTGGATTACCAAAGTGCCGGGATTACAGGCATGAGCCACCTCGCCTGGCCATTCCCAGGAATTCTCGATGACCTTGTGGAGCTGTCATATCAGGCCCGAACTGCCAAACTTTTGTCCTCTTCTAAGGGAGAGAAAAGCAAACGCGTCTATTATTTAAGCCGTGGGTGTTTGGGTGTTCCACTGAACCTAAGGCTGAACCTAACCTTAACTGTAGCATTTCACGTGAGCAAATCGTAGCTATGGAGAAACAAAAGATTTACAAGTAAAAAGCCTGGGTAGGTGGTCTTTAAAACTAGTGTTAATGTCCATTTCTACATCCTGAGGCCTCTTCCTAACAGACTTTGGTCTTGGGACACACTCTCACAGTTCCCACTTAAGCCTGGTATCTGAGGCCTGGCAATGGCTGCATAGGGCTACGTTGTGACCTTCAGTTAAAAGAACCCAGGTGAAACCAAATTTGTAAGCCCTGGTTTGTATGTGGCAAAATAGAAGAAGAATGTGAGGCTCCCTTGGATCATGCCCAGTGTAAAACCAACACAGGTGTCGCAGGTAAAACCCACATAATTAACTGACCAAATGCAAAAGTGAGGAGAAGATGAGGAGGAAAGATGAGCTGTGCATCTACACCAAAGCCTTCTTAAGAGGTGATCATTTTCATTTTTTTGAAGAATATTTTAGATATATATATATATTCAGCCATAGGTCCTATTCAGCTATTCAGTACATTAACACATCATCTAAGTATTTTTGAATTTAATCTTTAATTCTCAATCTCACATAAAAGTTTTCTTTCCCAACCGAAAAAGAAAAGCTTCTCTTGAAATTTTAGAAAATAAAAAAATGTCAAATGACACTGCAGTGAATATTGAGACACAGAATGCAGTTTATCTCGGGAAGCACCAGAGGACTGGGCAGTGAATATTGAGATACAGAATGCAGTTTATCTCGGGAAGCACCAGAGGACTGGGCAGTGAATATTGAGATACAGAATGCAGTTTATCTCGGGAAGCACCAGAGGACTGGAGTCGTAAAGACTCACTTTCTGTCTGCCCGCCAAGTCCGCAGTACAAACCAAGTGGAAAAGCCTATCTGGGTGCCTCTAAACTGTTCTTTGCCCCAGAGCCCAGATGCCACCCCCAGCAGAAGAAGCCATGGCTGGGCAGAAGTGGCTGAGCAGTGGGGAGGTGGGTGTGGAGGGGAGGACCACAGGGGGCTGCTCCCTCTTGCTCTAGAATCACCTGCCTTAGCTGGGCAGAGTTCAGAGAGCAGATGCCTTGCTGTAAAAGTTAAACAAGTCCAGGGAGCGGCCTGGACTTGAGGTGAGTCAAGGCTCTGCTACTTCCTGGCTGTTTTCTTGGTGAGCCCTTTTCGTGGGACTCCCATTTCCTCATCCTGTCTGTGCCACAAGACTCCCCCAGATGATCCTGACCATGCTCCCACTGTTCTAAACATCTGAAACTCGAATGGGAAACGGGAGTTCCCTTGATGATAGTGAATGATCTAAAGCTGTCTATGAGTGGGCTGATTCTCCAAGCAAGCCAGGACTGTCACGTTTAAAAACTGAGTCATTACTGCCACCTCTTGACTAATTATTGACAAGTTACCCAGACCACTCAAACCCAGCAGAAGGGGGCCTTTCTTTTAAAATCTGGGCTTCAGGCACTGGGCTTTGTTGAAGGGAAGAAGATGCTTATGCCAAGGTGTGTGCATGAAGGGCGACTGTCTTCTTTTTTTCTTTTTTTCAGAGACAGAGTCTCATTATGTTGCCCAGAGCTGGGGTGCAGTGACGTGATCTCGGCTCACTGCAGCCTTGATCTCCTGAGCTCAAGTGATTTTTCCACCTCAGCCTCTGCAGTAGCTGGGACAACAGGTATGTACAACCATGTCTGGTTAATTTTTTAATTTTAATTTTTTTTGTATGGATACAGGGTCTCGCTATGATGCCAGGCTGATCTCAAACTCTTGGCGTCAAACAATCCTCCTGCCTTGGTTTCCTACAGTGCTGAGGTTATAGATATGACAGGCGCTCAGTGTGTCACCCAAGCTGGAGTGCAGTGGCACCATCTTGGCTCACTGCAACCTCTACCTCCCAGGCTCAAGCCATCCTCCCACCTCAGCCTTCTGAGTAGCTGGGAACACAGGCGTGCACTACCATGTCTGGCTAATTTTTTGTATTTTTGGTAGAGACAGGGTTTTGCCATGTTGTTAAGGCTGGTCTTGAACTTCTGAGCTCAAGCAACCCACCCACCTTATCCTCCCACAGTGCTAGGATTACAGGTGTGAGCCTCAGTACCTGGTGAAAATGTTTTATTCAATACAATTAATTTTGTCCCACTGAGGGAAAATTTTGTCAAAATACTCCTCAGTTGTTTTTGTAGGATGGTCTGTCCTTTGAAGAGTCCTTTTACTCTTGCTCTCTGATCTTCCCATCAACCATACAAGGTAGAGAGGGTGGGATACCCAGTCTACAGATGGAAACACAGAGGCCCTAAGCTAATGAGTTGACTGAGGAAGAGTGGCAGCCCAAGCCCCTGGTTAGTGCTCCTTCTTTTATATTGGTGTGTGGCACCGAGAACTAGGAATTTGGGCAACAAATTTATTTATAGATGGTGGAGAAAGAAAACCAGTCCTAGCACGCTTCATTTCCATCATCCTCTTTCAGTCTTGAGAAAAGCAGGGCAATTATGATTGAATATTAGTAAGTTGGAACACTGAGGCACAATGCATGCGTTCTCTAAAGCCATTTTACAAGATGAGATGTAACACTCTGCACACAAAGAAGGGAAAACAAGGATGTGGGAGAGAAATCCCAGATGCCTACCTTCATGCTCCAAGCACAGTCCCTCATGATAAGCAGACCTGGACCATTGCTGGCTGTGCGAACCTTGGCTTTCCAATGTTGTTCGACCTTGAGCAGAGACTTTGGCAGGTGGGATCTGCAAATCTGCCTTCTCGGCTACTCCAAAGAGTGCTTTCCAAGAAGACTTCTTCTTGGCAAGGTTTATGGGCTTCTCACTGGATTGGGAATTTCTGCAAGGCCATGACACCTGTGTCCCTGACTCATTTGCTGACCAACTCCCCAGGGTCCTCTGGGACAAACTTCTTGTTCGCAGCAGCTTTGGCGAGGAGAGAGCAGGGGTGCTCTTGAAGACATGGTGTCTGGCGTAGTAGGCGAGGATTTCGAATTCTATGGTGTTTAGGTCATCATCTTCTAGGGGGATCTCTTCCAGGTCACACGCACTGGTGCTACACATGTTGGGCCTGTAACAACAAAGTCCACACGGTGCCCATCTATGCAGGGCCATTTACTCTTTACAAGTTAGGCGAGACAGTAGCAAAAACTCAATAAACTTTTTTTTTTTTAGATGGAGTCTCACTCTTCTTACCCAGGCTAGAGTGCAATGGCATGATGTCGGCTCACTGCAACCTCTACCTCCCGGGTTCAAGCAATCATCCTGCCTAAGCCTCCAGAGTAGCTGGGATTATGAGGGAATGTGTTCTCTTTTGGGGTCCACGAGGGGGTGTAATTTTAAGGGCAAGAATTTCCCAACGCCATGCTCCCCTCCCATCTCTCTCCATCCGAGAGATTTAACGGTTTATGTTTGAATTTCACGGGCGTGGGAAAAAACTGAAAGTCAGTCACTCCAGCAGAAGTTCTAAGGAACTCCCTTCATTGGCCCAGGGTCTTGGAGAAGGTGGGAGTTCCTCCCAGGATAAAAGTCCGTGTCCACACACCTAGATCCCCTCTGGAATCCCCTTCCATACTCTTCCTGGAAGTCTTTCTCTTCTTCTCTTTTCTCTACCTAAATAAAATCACCTTTCTGCAACACTTCTTCAGTCCAAAATTTACTTTTATGAGTATACGGCGCACCTGCAGTGGTCCTATTGCTTATTCTTTAAAAGGTTGGAGACCAAAAACCCACAGCATTCTCTCAGAGAGCTGTGCCTCACCAGCACCCAAGAAAAAACCTGGTTACAATTAATAGGCATGCATCACCATGCCCAGCTAATTTTGCATTTTTAGTAGAGACTAAAATGGGGTTTTACCATATTGGTCAGACTAGTCTCGAACTACTGACCTCAGGTAATCTGCCTGCCTTGTCCTCCCAAAGTGTTAGGATTACAGGTGTGAGCCACAGTGCCCAGCCTAGCAAACATTTATTGAACATCTATTGTGTTTGTGCTGGAGGGTAAAGAGGGAAAAGCCACAGTCTTACTGGGGTGGGAAGAGAGACACAGCCATAGCTAACTCCACACAAAGAGAATGCACTAAGTAAGAGGTCTAACAGAGATGCAGATAGCCATATTAGAAAGCAGGGATAGGTGAGCTTCAGAGAGAGAGGCAAGTGAAAGCTTTTGGAAAGCCAGAAGGATAGACAGGTGATACTGGGGCTAAGAACAGGGTGGGCAGAGGGGAGATTATAGGTGAATTCAGAATGTGTTTGAAGAGTGGTGACGGAACTGGGACAGCATAACTATGCAGTTTGCAAACAGCCAGGGCTCGAAAATAGTGTGGGGAAAATAGGTGAAGTAGCACTTGGGTCCCGGTTACAGTGGTCTTTGACTATCAGGCTGAAGCTCTGCATTTTCTCACTTCGATCAGCACGTTTCAAAAGGAGCTGTGGACTGTGGAGTTAAAGGTCTTGTTGGGGAGGTGGCAGAAGAGGGAGGACAACTTAGGGAAGACCAATGCCTGGGCCCTGACCCTTCCCTTCCTCTGTTCCTTCTTCCTTTATCCTCTGCTTTAGCTTGTCCAGGCTTCTCTCTCCTCTCTGTCTCTCTTTCCTTTTTCTTACTATATTTGGTGTGCCATGTAAGATTTCATCTGAAAAAAGCATCCTGTTATTTTATTTTACTTGTTATGAATTTGAAACACGCTGATGGAGACAATGGAGAGCGGTTCAGAGTTGTGAGTAGAGTGAGCAGCGGCGAGTTTTAAACCAACAGGATGCAAGCATTTTGTCTTTATTTCTAGACGAATAACAGGACAGAAAGAGAACTGATTTTGTTCAATTTCCTTTGCTTAAGCTTACATGAAATAACTCCTTTTTCCGGTTTCCTGCTAGGAAAGCAGTTCTTTTTGCTAATAATTCGTTTTCTTCTGCTATCTGTTAAGGACTGCATTCTCCTTTTTGTCTCAGATGCGAGAAAGCCCAGATCTACTGTGTTAAATGTCACAGGCAGTGCGTGTATCAAAAATGAGCTTGGGCTTCTCAGTCTAGCAGTCCCAAATTCAGACTGTGGCCATGCCAATGACTAGTTTTGTGACCTGTGGCAGGTTACTCACTCCATCTTTCCAAATATGAACTTCCTAGAGGCAAATTGCACAGATTTTGTGAGGGTGTAAGATACACAAGAGAAATCCCCACACAGAACCTAGCTCAAAAGTAGTAGCTATTTTTTATTTTTATTTTTTCTTAGTGTAACTACTGTCCTAAGCCCTCAGGCTCTTTTTTGTTTTTGTTTTTTTTCAGACTCAGTTTTGCTCTGTTGCCCAGGCTGGAGTGCAGATCCAGCTCCCTGGCTCAAGGGATTCTCCCACCTCAGCTTCTGGAGTAGCTGGGACCACAGCCGCACACCACCACACCTGGGTAATTTTTTTGTTTTGTTTTTTAGAGATGAGGTCTCACTGTGTTGCCCAGGCTGGTGTCAAACTCCTGGGCTCAAGTGATCTACCCACCTCGGCCTCCCAAAGTGCTAGGATTATAGTCAGGAGCCATTACCATGCCTGACCTCAGGTTGTCTTTTTTTTTTTTTTTTTGAGATGGAGTCTCACTCTGTCGCCCAGGCTGGAGTGCAGTGGCATGATCTCAGCTCACCGCAACCTCTGCCTCCCACGTTCAAGCGATTCTCTTGCCTCAGTCTCTGAGTAGCTGGGATTACAGGCGCGCACTACCATGCCTGGCTAATTTTTGTATTTTTAGTAAAGATGGGGTTTCACCATGTAGGCCAGGCTGGTCTGAAACTCCTGACCTCAGGTGATCGGCCCACCTTGGCCTTCCAAAGTGCTGGGATTATAGGTGTGTGCCATTGCACCCGGCCCAGGCTCTGTCTTAATATGGCTCTTAATCATGCTCCCTTCCCTCCAGGTCTAATTTAAGACCATCTCTCAGCATACAAGCCAAAAGATAAATAAGCTACGGTGACATTAAGGGGATTGGCTGGCACGTTCCTCTTTTTCTTTTCACTGCACCCTGCCATACCAGGACCAAGTTATAAAGAAATGGGACAGTAACTGCAGACAGGGTTTGAGGCAGTGCGAGGCGGTACAGACAAATTGGCCTGGGTGTCTGAAGAATGGATGGCCAAGGCTGGCTCGGCCTCTAACTTGCAACATCCTTGGGCAAGTCACTCCATCTCTTTGTTCCTCGGTGTCCACGTTGTTAGACAGACTAAGGACATTCTCTAATTTTTCTCGCTGCTTCTGCTATTGGAAGGAGGTGTAGGAGCTGAAATATCTACCCTGCTGGCCTGCTGGATGCTGCCTGTTTCCATCATTGTTTCCTCTCCTTTTTTTTTTTTTAAGACCGAGTCTTGCTCTGTCACTCAGGCTGGAGTGCAATGGCGCAATCTTGACTCACTGCAAACTCCACCTCCTGGGTTCAAGCGATTCTCCTGCTTCAGCCTTCCAAATAGCTGGGATTACAGGTGCCTGCCACCACGCCCAGCTGATTTTTGTATTTCTAGTAGAGACAGGGTCTCACCACATTGGCCAGGCTGGTCCTGAACTCCTGACCTCACAAGATCCACCTGCCTCGGCCTCCCAAAGTGCTGGCATCACAGGCATGAGCCACTGCGCCTGGCCTCCTCTCCTTTATTTAGAAGAGGCTCACACTGGCTAACAGCAAAGCTGTTTATATGAGGACTTGCTCCTTGGCCAGGCCCGAAGAAAGCAAGGGTCCCTGGCTAGGTGCATTCTAATGGAGGTGAGCCTGAGAGGGAGGCAGGGGGCTATACCACAACATCAGGTGACGATGGAGGGGACAGAAATGGCTTTCCCAGTGCAGCAAAGGGCAAGTTGCAAAACCCGCCAGACCTACTACACGGACACAGTTACATAACTTCCAAGCCCCGCAAACCTTGCTCACAAAACTGAATGTAGGCAAGTGCTTGAGGAATATGGCATGTGGGGGTCATGACCGCCGTCCTTCCTCCTCCTCTGCTGTTTCTTCACATTCCTGTCTTATTCCAGGACTTGGACATTCTTTTTACTGTGTAAACATGAAGATGTATTTGAGATGATAGAGAACTAAACATGGTGTGTATTTTAGATGATATTAAGGAAGTATTGATCATCTTGGCTGGCACCATGGCTTAGCCCTGTAATCCCACCTTAGGAGGCCAAGGTGAGAGGATCACTTGAGGCCTGGAATTGAAGACCAGCCTATGCAACCAAGTAAGATCCCATCCCTATTTTTTATAATTTAAAAATATATTATAAAAATTTAAGGCCAGGCATGGTGGCTCATGCCTATAATCCCAGCACTTTGGCAGGCTGAGGCAGCTGGATCACCTGAGGTCAGGAGTTCAAGACCAGCTTGGCCAACATGGTGAAATTCCATCTCTACTAGAAATACAAAAATTAGCCGGACATGGTGGTGGGTGCCTGTGGTCCCAGCTACTCGGGAGGCAGAGGCAAGAGAATCTCCTGAACCTGGGAGGTGGAGATTGCAGTGAGCTGAGATTGCACCATTTCACTCCAGCCTGGGCAACAAGAGTGAAACTCTGTCTCTAAATAATAAATACATATTAAGAAAAGATAATCTCATTAAATGTGGTATCATTGCCATTAAAAAGCACATATCTGGGCTGGGTGCGGTGGCTCACACTTGTAATGCCAGCACTTTGGAGGGCCAAGATGGGCCAATCACTTGAGGTCAGGAGTTCAAGACCAGTCTGGCTAACATGGTGAAACTTTGTCTCTATTAAAAATATAAACATTAACTGGGTGTGGTGGCATGTGCTTGTAATCCTAGCTATTCAAGAGGCTGAGGCAGGAGAATCATTTGAACTCAGGAGGTAGAGGTTGCTGAGAGTGAGCTGAGATGGTGCCACTGCATTCCAGCCTGGGCAACAGAGCCAGCTCCATTAAAAAAAAAGTACATATCTGTAAGTATATATAGTATATATGTTTATAAAACAAAGTAGATATACTGTAAAATAAGAAGGGGACTCTGGCTGCCTTCCCCAGCACCTAGAGTAGTGCTTGATGCTCTGCCGACTGAGCTATCCCGGCTCACTAATGGTAGGTACTCAAATATCTGATGGCTGATTGAATGTAGGATTATAGGGCTGCCAGACGCATTCAGAATACAGGACACATTCGGTCACATTTGAAGTTCAGCTAAAGAGCAAATAATAGTATATGTCCCAAATATCACAAGACTGATTTATAATAAATATTAGTATATGTCCCAAAGAAAATATTATATGCTAAAAAAATTATATGCTAAAAATATATTATTTTATTATATATAAAATTATATAAAATATTATATGCTAAAATATTTTATTATATATAAAATATATGCTCAAATATATTTTATTATATATAAAATATATGCTAAAAAATTATATGCTAAAAAAATATATGCTAAAAAAAACCCTCATACTTGTTTTTTATCTGAAATTCAAACGTAACTGGCTGTCTTGCATTTTTGCTTGCTAACTCTGGCACCCCTAGGAGTGGAAGCTGTTGCTGAGACACACTGAGACCTGAGGTTCATGCAAGCAGGCAAAGCGGGCCACCAAGCGGGGTGAGGCTCCGGCAGGGTCTGTGGTCAAAATTAAGTATAGCAGACTTGGTGGGGAAAAGGCTGAGTCTAGCAAGAGGCCAGACATGGAATTTCTCAGGAGAGGATTCAAGGCTTCCTTTTGTACTGAGCGGCTCAGGACACTGTAGGTTGGATGTGTACCCTGGTCCTTCAGGAGCTGTGTCCTCGGGTAGGAGGCTGAGTCCCCTTGTCAAGCCAATAACACCGAGCTGCTGAAGAAATTCCCATTTACGTTAAAAACAAGACAGACCCGGCTGGGCGCAGTGGCTCACGCCTATAATCCCAGCACTTTGGGACGCTGAGGTGGGCGGATCACTTGAGGTCGGGAATTTGAGACCGACCTAACCAACATGGGGAAACCCCATCTCTAATAAAAATACAAAATTAGCCGGGCGTGGTGGCACATGCCTGTAATCCCAATTACTTGGGAGGCTGAGGCAGGAGAATCGCTTGAACCTGGGAGGCAGAGGTTGCAGGGAGCCGAGATGGTGCCATTGCACTCCAGCCTGGGCAACAAGAGTGAAACTCTGTCTCAAAAAGAAAGAAAGAAAGAAAAAAAGCCAGATCCTTTTAATGTAATGCAAGGGCTTTAAAATGTGTGTGTGTGTGTGTGTGTGTGTGTGTGTGTGTCTGTGTGTGTGTCTGTGCGCACACGGATGTATGTGTGGGGGGTGTTTTTGTTGGAGAGAGGACTTCTTTTAGAAACAAGTTTGCTAATGCTGTTTCAGTAGCAACATCAGAAATCAGGGAAAACCACCGAGGTCAAGATAGACCACTTAGTCCTTCCATTTCATAAAATACAAGATTTTTGTTGTCTTACAGGCCAGAAAGACTGTGACTTGGCCCAGCCAACAGGCAAAGCTAAGGATGAGAGGGGATGAGAGAGAGGCAGATAGAACAGTGCTCAGGAGCCAGCCGCAGAAGGAGGCTAGCCTGCAGGGGAGGGATGAGGGACTGCCGCCGCAAGAGCCTGGATTGCACAGAGCAAAAGAGAACAAATAGAGACGAAAAGGTTAAGAGGGTTTAAATGTATATAACAAATGTAGATGCCGGGCCAGTGGCTCATGCCAGTAATTCCAGCACTTTAGGAGGCCCAGGGGACAGGATTGCTCGAGCCCAGAGTTCTAGGCCAGCCTTGGCTCCGTCTCTAAAAAAAAATGAAAAAATTAGCCAGGCATGGTGGCGTATACCTGCAATCCCAGTGACTTGGGAGGCTGAGGTATGAGAATTGCTTGAGCCTGGGAGTTGGAAGCTGCAGTGAGCTATGATCACACCAGTGCACTCCAGCCTGGGTGGCAGAGAGAGACACTCTCTTAAAAAACAAAATAAAAGCTGGGCGCGGTGGCTCACACCTCTAATCCCAGCACTCTGGGAGGCTGAGGTGGGTGGATCACCTGAGGTCGGGAGTTTGAGACCAGCCTGACCAACATAGAGAAATCCTGTCTCTACTAAAAATACAAAAATAGCTGGGTGTGGTGGCGCACGCCTGTAATCCCAGCTACTTTGGAGGCTAAGGCAGAAGAATTACTTGAACCTGGGCAGCGGAGGTTGCAGTGAGTCGAGATCGTGCCATTGCACTCTAGCCTGGGCAAAAAAGCAAAACTCCACTCAAAAACAAACAACAACTAAAAAAAAAAAACATAAAGCAAAGAACCCATCCACACAAATGTGGAATTTTTCTTTCTACTAATCCTTGTTATAAATTACCTGGTTGTTCAGTTTATAGCTAAGTCTTACTTTCAAGTAGCGATTGAGTATTATCCCAGCTTAGATCCCTTCTGCTCGCAGCTGTTCCTACAGAAATTTTAGTTCATCCAGGAAGCCCAACTTTGGGGTTCATGGAAATGGAAACCATAAGTTTCATGCTTATGTTGATAGAAGCCCTAGGTGGGGCCCCTGAGTGCTGGTTCAGAACGTGGAGGGGAGATTTCCATTCCCAAGAGAGACCTGTGGGCTTATTCTAATTCAGGGCCGCAGAGGACACAACCCTGCCTCACTCACCTATGTTTACCTTCCTGCTCCTTGTCTATAACAAACCTGCACTCTCAGAAGCAAGGCTGCTGAGGCTCTTTTCCTTGGCCTCTTTTCCTCCCCGAGGTGGCCAGGGTCCTCCACGTCTGGCCCCAGAGTGTCCTTTGGGAACACTGGCTACCTGGCCAGGTGTGCTAAGAGGCCAGCTGGGAAGGCTACACTCCAAGAAGCACCTACATTCCAGGTATCGCCAGACGCGGTGTCACGAGGTTCTCACTTGTTGAGGTTAGATTTCACTTCCCGGTGGTGGCAGCTAATGGATGAGCACACAGAGGAAACCGCAGCAAGCACCTTGTGTTTCCACACAGAGGCGGACACCACCCAGCGCCCCAGTTGTGCTGGACAGCTGGTTCACTGTGCCTCTGCCTGTCCCAGCAGTGAGGGGTATGGAGAATCCCTTGGCGGCTCCATCCCAGCAGAAGAGCCGACTTCATGTGCTCGGGACACACAGTTGAGCCCTGAGTGGATCTCGTGGGCGCTGACACTCATCCCCACGAAGCCTCCCACAGCACATCCTAAGCTCAGCTTGGTTCTGTTGTCTGGACCCTCCCTTTCTGCCCTTCTCCTCTCCTCATCATTTCAGACCTCTCAGGGTCTTCGTGCCTTCTGCCTGGACTGTTCTTTAATACTAAACATGAAATGAGGAAGGAGAGAAGGTGCCTTAACTTCCCACAATAGAAGCTGAATGCTAGACAGAGCCTCAGGTCATATTCATCAAACAGAAGGACCAAGACTGTGATGGTGAAAAGAAGCGGGCAGGGAGCTCAGGGAGGAGGGAGCTTTCTAGAGGGGAGAGAAAAGGGTCTTTCATTTACCTGTGCCTTAGACTCGGGGAGGTCTCTGGGGGCCTAGACCTCCTGCAGATGAGTGCCCAAATTCCCATGAGGTGCTCAGGACTCTGATCTCAAACCAGGAATTCCCATGCTGGCTCCAGTCCCTGCATCCCTGTAGTGTCCAGCTTGGGCAGTGGTGTCCCTGGCCACGGAAAGCCTCTCATGTCATTGCATACCTCGCCAGATACAGAAGCAGAGAGGACTGCGTAACATTACACGCCTCAACTAGTAATGTGTTCTTAACTGAACCCTCTGTAGCAAAAAAGAAATGAAAGAGAAACCTAAATAACTTTTCTTTCTCTTTCCTGGAACTCCGATAAATTAGATTCTCAATGTCATTTTGTGACCTGAGACTTACATGATAAGAACTTTGTAATAAACCCAGTAAAGAGCTCCCTGAATTAGGCTGCTGCATTTGGCAAACAGCTAAAGACCAGGCTGTGTCCTCCTGCAAAGGCTGAGAGTGAAGACTGGTGCCGCCTGGTGTTACCTGGTCTGGAAGCTGTCACTGATTTCTCCTGCTTCCGGTCAGATGGCAGTAAGGATATTTCTATACCCGAGTCTCTGTCCACGGAACTCAAGAGGAAACTTTCAACAGGTCTTCTTGGCTTGTCATTTGGAAAGACTCATGTAGTTTAGAGCTCCAGGCTGCAGCTTCTTCAGGTTTAGGATTTAGGCTGAAAAGGGGCTTAAAGAAGAAGAATCACTTCCTTATTAAGCCCTGCCCCTGGCTTTTTAATTGAAGGAGGGGCTGACCTTTGGCCATGTAATTTGACTCTAAAAGAAATTCTGCATCCATTACCTGGCACTCTTCCTGCCCTTTGGGATTTATAGATGGGTGTTCGCTTTACTCTCCGTATCAGTTGTTGTCAGTTGAACAATGTTTACTGACCACCTAACATGCTACAGGCACTATACACATATTTAATCTTTTTTTTTTTTTCTGAAACAGTTTCACTCTGTTGCCCAGGCTGGAGTACAGAGGTACGATCTTAGCTCACTGCAACCTCCGCCTCTCAAGTGATTCTCCTGTCTCAGCCTCAGCCTCCTGAGTTTCTGAGTTTACAGGCACGTACCACCACGCCCAGCTAATTTTTGTATTTTTAGTAGAGATGGGGTTTTGCCATGTTGAGTGGTCTTGAACTCCTGGCCTTGGTTGGCCCACCAACCAAGTGCTGGGATTACAGGCATGAGCCACCATGCCCAGCCCACATATTTAATCTTAACACATTGAGAAGCAGGTGTCATGATTCCCATTGCACAGATGAGGAAACTGAGGCTCCGAGGGGTGAAGTACCTTGCTAGGGATCCCTGTCAGTTGAGCTGAGTTCCAAATCGTGGTCTTTCTGGCTTTACATTACATCATGTCACCTATTCTATGAGACTCAAAGATTGTCTTCAAGTAGAACCACCAGAAAAGCATTAAAAAAGGAATCTGGCCGGGCGCCGTGGCTCACGCCTGTAATCCCAGCACTTTGGGAGGCCGCAGCAGGTGGATCACGAGGTCAAGAGATTGAGACCATCCTGGTCAACAAGGTGAAATCCCGTCTCTACTAAAAATACAAAAAAAAATTAGCTGGGCACAGTGGCGCGTGCCTGTAGTCCCAGCTACTCGGGAGGCTGAGGCAGGAGAATTGCTTGAACCCAGGAGGCAGAGGTTGCGGTGAACCGAGATCGTGCCATTGCACTCTAGTCTGGGTAACAACAGCGAGACTCCGTCCCAAAAAAAAAAAAAAAAAAAAAAAAAAAAAGGAATCTAACCACAGCCATAGTAAAAAACACAAAAACCCATTGAGAGGCCAAATGTCATAATTTTAGAGATGGGATTCCCTATTATAAGAAATGGGAAACAGTTACATCTGAGTTTATGCTCTATCTACAGTCTTAAGTAAAATAGATGTGTATGGCCATGCCTGAGCGATGCTCAAACTGTGACATGACGGAAGTGTGAATAGTGAAAGGGGAATTAAAGCTATTTACGTCAAAGTGGGGAAGAATGGGCCATTTAAATATTAGGCAGACAGATGGTAATTAGGGGAAGTTAGATGATTAGTAACTCGAGGTGAATTTTCACAGGCAAACTAATGTTTTTTTGCACCAGTGTGGTCAACGTAGAGGGTAATACCAAGAATGATTTTTCTCTTTTTATAAAAACTTGCCATCTTTTTTGGGGAGAATGATGAGATATATTCACTGGAAACAATTCAAGAATAAACAAGGCCTGGCTCAGTGTCTCAGACCTGTAACCCCAGTTTTTGGGAGGCTGAAGAGGGAGGATCACTTGAAGCCAGGAGTTTGAGACCGGCCTGGGCGACATAGTAATGAGATGTGAGTTCTTCAGGCCTGGTTTGCAAAGACACCACTGATACAATGACACCACTGATACAATGACACCACTGATACAATGACATGCAGTAAAGAAGCAGCCCAAACCCATCAAAACCAAGATGCAATGAAAACCGCCTCTGGTCATCCCGACTGCTCGTGATACGCTGATGATAATTCGCTGGCGTGCTGAAAAACATTCCTACCAGCCTCACGTCAGTTTACAGATGCTATGGCAATGTCTGGGAGTTACCCTACATTGTCTGAAATGGGAAAACCCTCAGTTCTGGGAACTCCCCACCTTTTTCCTGGAAAACTCATGAATAATGTGCTTTTTGTTTAGCGATGATCAAGAAATACCCAATATATTCAATCAAGCAGCCATGCCACTGCTCTGTCTATGGAGAGCTGCCCTTTTATTCCTTACCTTGCTTAATAAACTCACTTTCATTTTACTTGGTTGGCTCGCTCTTGAATTCCTTTCTGCGGGAAGCCAAGAACCCACTTGGCCTCCCAGGCTAAACCCTAATTTTGGGATTCACCCTGTGATAGTGAGACCCCATCTCTTAAAAAAAATTTTTTTTTTTTTTTTTTTAAATTAGCCAGGCATGGCTCACACAAGTAGTCCTAGCTACTCAGAGGGCTGAGGTGGGAAGACCACTGAAGGCCAGGTATTCAAGAGCAGCCAGACAACATAGCATGGTGAGCCGGGCGCAGTGGTTCACGCCTATAATCCCAGTACTTTGGGAGGCTGAGGCAGGTGGATCACGAGGTCAAGAGATCGAGACCATCTGGTCAACATAGTGAAACCCTGTGTCTACTAAAAATATAAAAATTAGCTGGGCATGGTGGCGCACACCTGTAGTCCCAGCTACTCGGGAGGGTGAGGCAGAAGAATTGCTTGAACCCAGGAGGTGGAGGTTGCCGTGAGCCGAGATCACGCCATTGCACTCCAGCCTGGGTAACAAGGGCGAAACTCCATCTCAAAAAAAAAAAAACAGCATAGCATGGTGGCACATGCCTGTAGTCCTAGCTACTTGGTAGTCTGAGGCAGGAAGATTGCTTCAGCCCAGGAGTTCAAGGCTGCGGTAAGCTAGGATCATGCTATCGTACTCTAGCCTGGGCAACAAAGTAAGACCCTGTCTCAAAACAAAAAGCCAAAGCAAACCATAAACTCACAAATGCACATAAGCGATAATAGAATCACCTCACATAGTATGTACTACTGGAGTTCTGAGTTACATAACTGAACAATGTTGGTGGCAGAAACCATTTAGAATCCTGAAGGGTCTTGGTCAGGCACAGTGGCTCATACCTGCAATCCCAGCAATTTGGGAGACCAAGGCAGGAGGACAGATTGTGTTCTCGAGTTTGAGATCAGTGTAGGCAACATAGTGAGACCCCATCACTACCAAAATAAAAATAAAAAATTAGCTGGGCATGGTGGCGCACACCCATAGTGTCACCTAATCAGGAGACTGAGGTGAGAGGATAGCTTGAGCCCGGAGGTTGGGGAGTGGGAGATGGTTGAGGCTGCAATGAGCTGTGATCGCATCACTGCACTCAGCCTGGGTGACAAGAGTAGGGTCCTGTCTCGAAAGAAAGGAAGAAAGAGGGAGGAAGGAAGGAAGGGAGGGAGGGAGGGAGGGAGGGAAGGAGGGAGGGAGGGAGGGAGGGAGGGAAAGATAGATCCTGAAAGGTTGTGTCAAGGCAACTATGAACAGAGGGAAGGGGAAATCCCCACAAGGAAGCTAAGGACAGCAACTGTCTGTGTCTTGGTCAACTATGTTATCTTCATACCTAACAAGCTGGCCAGGGAGAGGTCACAATACATGCTAGATATTAAACAGCAAAAACAAAAACCACTTTTCTCCTGATTTTAAACATAGACATGCTGTTGTAGAAAACCTGTAAAACAGGGTACATAATAAGGATGGCCATAATGTAGTCATTCAGTGGGAAATGCTGCTAAAAATTTGGTGAACGTCCCTCTTTTCTTTGAGAAAACGTGGACACAGGACAAACTCTCTGCTCTCTCCCTCTCTATGAGGAAAAGCAGAGGATTTTTTTTTTCTTCAGACAGTCTTGCTCTGTCCTCCAGGCTGGAGTACAGTGGCACAATCTCGGCTCACTGCAACCTCTGCCTCTAGGGTTCAAGCTATTCTCCTGCCTCAACCTCCTGAGTAGCTGCAATTACAGGCATGAGCCACCATGCCCGACTCATTTTTGCATTTTTAATGGAGACAGGTTTCACTATGTTGACCAGGCTGGTCTCCAGCTCCAGAGCTCAAGATATTCGTCTGTCTTGGCCTCCCCAAAGTGCTGGGATTACAGGTATGAACCACTACACCCAGCCATCATAACTTCTAATAAACTTACTTTGTAAATAGAATTTATTAATGGCTGCATTGTTCCAGTGAATGATAGCATTAAAATTATTCAGCCAGAGGAGAATTGCTTGAACCCGGGAGGTGGAGGCTGCAGTGAGCTGAGATCGTGCCACTGCACTCCAGCCTGGGTGACAGAGCGAGACTCTGTTTCTGAAAAATTAAAATTAAAATTAAAATAATTCAGCCAGACAACTATTTTTAAATGTTTTGTTTGTCTTCAAGTGCTTACTGTTGCAAATAAGGCCGCAGGATAGAGTTTTCATCTTTGCTCACATGTTCTATTGTTTCCTGAAAAATGATTCCTCAGAGTGGAATTATTGGGTATGAATATTTTTAAAATTGTTATATATGCTTTCAATTCACTTTAATCTATTACTCTGTAATTGATTTATATCATCACTGGAAACAATATCTTAGAGAAAAATCCCAAAGTTTGAATAATACAGATAAAAGCCCATCCTCAGGAAAACTTTGGGGGTTTTGCCCATCATTATGAGTAAGGCCAGATGAGCAGATTTCAGAGTGGAAACCAGATTACTTTGGGGCTATGATGTTTATCCTTGTTTTGATCTCAGTGATGAAACTTGTTGGGAATGGGTTTATAACATCGGGAAAAATCCACACGGAGACAATGGGTCACTCAGCAAGGCTGGTTTACTTCCTGTAGGGAGGGTGTAACTCGCCGGCAGTCTTGCCAGGAGAGCACACCTGAACAAAGGAGACGGGGACATTTATAACT